TACTAATTAGAATAGCTTTTAGAAAGTTTACTACAGGTTAAATGAAATAAGAAATTTTTAACCAGGACATTAAGACACTCTAAATTCAGACTGAATTTATCACAACCAACTTACAAGTGTAATGGCAACTCCCCTCTAAGATAGAATGCATTACCAGCTGGTCTATCAAAATTACTACTAAACAGGGGATATTTACTGGCAAGCAAGAATATTGGGACAATCTAAAGTTTATGTACACTAATGATAACACTATGATGATAGTTAAATCAACTACTGCTCTCATAAGCACTGGAACACTTACATGTAATCTATTTTCAATTGTGCATGCATGTACTAATTATAGCTACTTTAGGGTCGTAAGTTCATCAATAATAGACAATAACAAAATGCAACATTGTTAATTTTTGAGGTACTAGCTGTTATAAATAATACTCGAGACACCATTTTGGGATCAAAATTAGAAGGACTCCATAAAAGATTAATCTATTATCCCACAAGTTTTAAGTTTAAATTAAGCTATAATTTACAGAAGTACATGTACATGTACATGTACTAAAGTTCAAAGACAAGTTTGGGAAAAAGCTGTTGCTGACAAGAGACAAGAATTGGCACTTTAAAATTAACCCAGCAAACATCAGAATCAACCAGCAGTACATTTGACAAATGACAATACACAATTACATTACACATACATGTACATGTACACCTATAAGGATGTGTGGCATCAACTAATTCAATTTTTCTGAGTACCTATACACATACATTATGCACATCTTAATTAATTGCTAAGCTCAGGAGTTGTATAGTCACTAAATGTACATGTACATGTATCCATGTGAATTACATGTAAAGTGCAAAATCTCAGAGCATAAAAATTACAACTCTCTTTCCAAGTACATGTACGCGTGCATCACGTACTACAAAAGAATGTCAATATTATGAGAATTTAATAAGCAAATTCAATTTGACTCAAAAAGGGGCACCATTAATATTTTAAAATATACTTATACACGTAGCAAACGGAAATACATGTGAACCATCAACAATCTATGGGTAGAATCATTAAGAATCACCAGAGTAGAAAATTAATAGCATGCATGCAGTCTAGCTAATAAGGTAAGGATGGAGTTGTAGCTACAGAGTAGGACTATTACGGAATGACTATATATGAGGATAGAAGGAGAGAGCAGGATATGACTTGTAACATTAAATAGTAAAGTGCAATCTCACAATGATTATACATTACTATAAGTATCAATGAATCAATACTGCTCTAGTGAAGGTACAGCACTATACTGGTAGCTGTACTAAGTACTTTTATGGTAAATTAAGGTACACACACATGTACATGGGTGGTGGCCGGTACAGTGTTCACAATTTTGGGTTTGATTGTTAAAACAAAACAGAGAGGGTAATGTTGAGTGAATAGAAGCCATTAAAGTGGTCAGCTAGGCCAAGCAAGCTGTGGTAGCAGATATACAATTACATGTACATGCTCATGTCGGCTAAAGTTCCCACAAAATTTTGGCCTATTGCTCAGTTTCTTGTCGGTAAATTCAAAATACCCTGTACTATAAATAGTCTCTGGCCTGATTTTTAGCATGCTTTAATATTCAGAATTAGCTCAAAATTTCTACACAACATAAGAACATATCAAAAAACATAATAATTCCATCCTTGCAGCATCTGATGAAATTTGAGAATATACCATTAAAACAAGTATGAGAGAATTCTGTCACAAACAACATTTTAGCTCACTTAGCATGCTACATGGGAATTAAATCTAGGTAAATGTACAATGTACAATGTATGTGTATTGTATTTACATGTAACTCAGTTCAACGCACAGATCAAGGCATTAAACAAGACATGCATCATTAAACCTCTTAAACAAACCTGCTCTAGTTCTTGAATATACATTGTCATAGCTTTCTCCTTATCTAGACTACTACACATCTTCCAAGCTTCCCTAAAAAGAAATACTACAATCAAATTAAGGAAATATGCCACTATCATCATGTACATATATGACAATCACTTCAATCTTATTCATCACAGTCCAGTTGATGTGACAATCAAATAAGGAATGAACAGGTCGTGTTTGTATATACAAAAAAAGAAATTTTAAGTTCCGGTAGTAGCCAGCATAGTAACACATTGACAGAGCACATTGTTGTTCCATTATAAGTCACAAACACACATGTACATATGCATGTATACTTACCACTTAGCCCTACCAGTAGGATCCCATATAGCAGGCTTTGACGTATTGTTTGGTCCTTCTTTCACTACCTTGTATAAACCATAAAACTACAATAAAAGATAAAGTAATACATGCATACCATAAACAATTAGGAGCTGATTAATGTACTGTAAGGACACAGCTAATGGTAGCTAGTGATTAGGATGGGATCAAATATGTGTAGCTGTGTACCACTGACAAGTAAACAAACTTATAACATGTAATTAAGATACGTCAAGTATAAGGTACTTTATTTTCGTGAAGCTAAGCTACAGCGGGTAACAAATTAGTATGCAATATTGAATTTCTATTACTTAAGGATGTGATGCTAATTTTATAAACCTGTGAAAGTTATTTTAACAAATATTTCATCTTTTACATTTTTGAATTTCGGCTGTGAAGTGTTTTACAGTATTCTGTGGTATAACTATTGCTAAACTATTAGCTAATATTCCTTGCATTAGATTCCTAACAAAGGCATAATAAATATGATAGTAAAGCGACATGTATCCAAACAGAAAAGAAAGATGCTCTTTATAAAATTTTTACTAGCTTATCATAAAAAGTAAACAAAATACATAGTCCAAACTTGAGGTCAAATACAGTTTTTAAACATTTTTATCAGTACTTGTATTTGTATTTCTATTTGTTATTTCGTGTGCTATGACCTTAACACCTAATATCCCTTTGGTTACTAAACGCTAACTGTATTTAAAATATATTTGAAATATTTAGTCAAGTATTTCTTATAGTAATTAAATACAACTCAGCAAAAGGTATTTGTATTTGTATTTAAATATACTTGACTCCAAGTATGGTACATAGCTGTACATCTACAAATCCATTACACTACACACAATGTTGTGACCATAAAAGGAAACATGCGTTTACAGTTTGCAGTTGCAATAAAAAACAAACGTGGATGTAGGCTAGTAATAATTGAAGTAAAAGGACACATTGTAAGGCAAAAGAATGATCATGCTATTTTACAGCCAAGGCAGATTATTAAAAAATTGAAAAATTTCAAAATAGGTGGGTGTGGTTAAATTAATAAAATGGCTGCCAAAAGGGACAAAATTTGATTATAAAATTATTCTTATTTTTAAGTAAGGATGATAAGGTGGTTAAATTTAAGAGCCTGCAGCTGCTGATAAATATTATTCCAGTCACATATGATAATTACTTCTACAACTTTACATTAACACCAGTACACAAAAATATTTAAATTATAATTAACAGAATTGTGAGATGCCATACCAAATTAAAACACATGCATGTACATTACATAGTCTTTAATAATTATAATACGGTACTGTACCTTCAGCTTGACCATATCTGAAGGCTGGAAAGGACCTGTTTTAGAAATTATACTTATAACATTAAATTCTAGGAAGACTAACCCACCATCTTTTGGAAGGGAGCGAATAACTGTCACGGCAGTTTCGAATCTCTCAATAAGAGGACGTTCTTTCGGACCCTTTCCAGTAGCAGCCATCTTTAACCTCCAGTCACGTGATGAAGCTTGTCTCAGCTCAGCCTCAGCTCAGTACAGTCGGGCAGCCAAGCAACCGGAAGTCCATATAAATTGTGTATAAACCTATTTCTCGTTCATTGAGCAACTGCGTGGGTGGTAGCATACATAGATACATGAAAACTTGGATAGAATCAGAGAACTATCACAGCAATGGACTTGCCACAATGAGAGATAAAGTGCTTGATCAATAGAGCACATCATTTATGAAAACAGCAAAGCTATGCTGTTTTATGGGGAACTTACAGCTAATTTTGAACACAATAATTCTATTCCTTAGAAAAATTTTCCCTCACAAGGAATACTTGTAAGACAACAATTACCTTGTAAAGACACCTTTTAAGTACCACATACCAAAATTTCATGATTGCACTCCAAAGAATACTGAAGTTACAATTTTTTTATTGTTAAGTATAATTAAATTAATTAAAATTTATTATAAAAATTGTAATAAATCATGATATCTTTATCCAGGAAGAAAATAATTGGGATCAAAGTCTATATCCTCACAATAACCTTCATCTATAATGCCAAAATAGGCAACCAGATACTTAACACAGTTCATGTGAGTATAAATATGAACGAAAATTGCGGCTCTCATGAAATCTCAAGATATCTTCCAAATACAGATATAAAGAAAGTTGAAAACCACTGCAATAGCTACAATTTACATATATATCAAGAATTATAAGCTATACTCATGGATACAACAATGCTAAACACACACAAACACATAGCTAGGCTACTTGCTGGGACCTTTAATACCTTAGAAAAATTTTCCCTTTTCTCCTACAGCAATGAAACTTTTGCAGAATAACAGGCATGTATAATACTAATAAGCTACCTTGTAACTGTGATTGCATTCACTCTATTTTACAAGTTATAGAATTTAATATGATTTTTGTGTCAGCCATTTTAAATCCTTACAGTGGAAACAAGCACCTGAAACACGAACAGTTCTTGATTATAAATGTAGAAGATCAGTTAGCTACATCTCTATCCAATGCTAAAAGTTCAGAGAACAGCAAAGTAACTGTAGACTTCTTAGCTTTGACATAAACAATCAAAATAGGCAAGTGGCACTACCACACTAAAAGTCAGCCATTTTGAGAAAAACGTCACTTCCGGTCAGAAATAAGAAATCAGGCTTGGCTGCCCGACTGAGTACGTGACGGGATATGGAGAAAATAATTATAAAAGTAAGCTGAACAGCATTACAAGTTCCAGACAAACTGTGAAAACATGACAACTAGACTTTATCCTACCCTTTTGCTCTTCTTTTTGCTCTCCTGTATTTTTAGCTACGTTGCTGCAACCAACTACAATTATGGCAAAGGACCTCTGCCATCCAAGTTCACCAAAGGAAAACAGTGGCCTGCTCATGGAGAGCAACTGGAGTGCAGACCTATCCAGCTACACATTGCCAGAGGGTCCAAACGATATAAAGACCTCGTGGTTTACTCCAGTCAAGCTACATATCTTCATTTTGCCAGCAGTGACTGTCGGATAATGTCATCTAGGCTCCACACTCGTCTTTCCTCTTTAGCACAAGATTACTATTGGAGATATCACATCAAACTCCTTGTACTGAAAGCCTGGACACCTTATCCTGACTATAGTCTTGATAATACCTCTCTTCATTATGAAGGTACATTGTATGCACTCACTTCAATGCTAACTACATGAATATAAAATGTGTTTTAATAATAGGAAGAAGTGTCAGAATTCACGTTACAAGCCGTAATGTGACGAGATTACTCAAAATGGCTGTCAGTGCTGGCTTTGATTGGGTTATGTATGATAAAAAAGGATACGCAAGAATGAGTGTTATTCCAGATGGTGAGCAATATATATATTCATAATGCACTGAATCAGTTGAGTATTTTTGTTTCTAGCTTGTGATACTAATCTTGATGTTGTTTTTGTATTGGATCAGTCCGGCAGTATAGGCTACTATAATCATCAACTTGCCCTTAATTTTCTAAGCAAAGTTGTGGAATTCTTTAAGATTGGTGCTAATAAAACCCAAGTTGGCCTAATAACTTATTCAACACATGCTTATGTACAGTTTGACCTGAATGATTATCATTCAAAGAGCACTATACTCAACAGAATATCAAGAATCTATTACACTGGTGGCTGGACTGCCACAGCACTCGGTTTATTTCAAGCTGGTGTCATTCTAAATCCTCAACAGATGAGAGGAGCTAGACCCATCTCTCAAGGTGTACCTCGTGTTGTCATTTTGCTCACTGATGGTCGTTCTAATCGTGTACCTATTGATGAAGTAGCACCATCGCTTCATGATTTCGGTATACAGGTCTACACTGTTGGAGTTGGTAACATATACCTTCCCGAGTTAAAATTTATTGCATCAGATCCTGACCCGTATCACATTTTCCTGTTGGATTCATTCAGCGATGCATCTGGTTTTGTGGATTTTCTGAGCTCAACTACTTGTGATAGTAAGTTATCAATTTATATAAATAGAATACATAAAAGCCTTTTGACTTGTTCCTAAATTAGCAGCATGAATTTAACAGGAAATTTGTGTTTATAGTCATACATGCATATTATATTGATTTTTAATCTCATTGTAATTTTTGTAGCTCCTGCTGTAGTAGAACCTGGAGAGAATACCACCACAGAAGTCCCAGAGGACGGCTTCCGTTTCTTCCAAACTGAGTGCAATGCCTTCTCTGTGTCTGTTGTTGTAGAGCAGATTGACTTGTATGGCAAATGTCATCTTTATGCTTCCACTTCTAAACCGAACCCTGGTCCACTTGATAACAGCAGTGTGGTAGTGAGAAATGAAGACCTGACGTCTGATAGAAGATTTGTAATCGTTAAAGGTGTTAAGAAAGTAATTTAATTAATAGTTAATACGTTATTGTCATTTATGTGTAATATCTTTATGTTTTCTAGTTCATTTACATATCAATACGAGGCATTAGAGTTAAGAATATGTTTACTGTAATCATTTGGGACATGCTGTTTAACCAAGAGGTGTATAGCATAAATGTTCCTGAAGGAATTCCAAATCAACACATTTTTAATCTTACAAGTGAAATTTCGGTCACCACTGAAAGGTGAATAATTTAATATTACGCATCTTGTGACATTACAGTGCAGCCTATGCGGTATACTTAGGGTATAATTATTTAAGTTCAATGTTTGTCTTTATAGTTTGTCCAAATATGGGGGTAAATATGATGCACGTGTTGTATAAACTTCCTCCACTATGCCATTTTGAGATTGTAGCACTGACCTTAATCCATATTCACAATGCACATGTCTATAATATTAATTTTATATTCTAGTTACTACTTTCGGATCAAAAATGGAAATGATAACGATGATTTCATGCTTAACAACATTACTGGCCTCCTTTTTGTTCGTAACCCGCTGAGCATAGCGAGACAACAATATTATCATCTCGTAATAATAGCTGAAAACAGGAATGCATCCTGTCACAGAGGGAAAGTTACTATTAAGATTAACGTTATCCCTGATGAGCTGGAGTTTGGGAACTTACAGCCGGTTAGTATACCTGAAAACGCCACTGGTATTGTTACCCGTGTAACAGCTAATGGGAACAGTAGCTCAATCACGTACTCAATAACTGGAGGTAATACAGGGAACTCGTTTGTGATCGATGCAAATACTGGTGATATTAGTGTAGCTAATAACAGTGTCCTGGATCATGAAACTGTTCCTCTGTATCAACTGAATGTACAAGCTAGATCTAGTCTTGGAGCTACAGCTACTGCAACTCAAATTATTAATATCCTTGACATCAACGAAGCACCTGTTTTTACAAATTCGTGCGCACTTGCTAACGAATGTCGATTTTTTGTACTTGAGAATGTGACATTATCTGGTTTGGTTGGATATCTAGTAGCTACAGATCCTGATTTAGCTACTGTGCCCAATGGTCAATTGAACTATACCCTGGTGGCTTCTGAAACAGTTCCTTTTACAATAGACAACTCAGGACGCATTACATTAAATGGTACTTTGGATAGGGAGACCAGGGACTTGTATCAATTCACTGTCATTGTAATGGATAATGGCTCTCCTAGTTTATCAATAAGAACAACAGCAACTGTTAGAGTTCTTGACGTCAATGACAATGCTCCAGAATTTGTTCAAGGTCGGACATTTCTAAGCATTCCCGAAGACACACCAATAGGACGACCCATAGAGCAGTACATAGTGGTTGATGATGACATTGGCATTAATTCTCTGATTAGTTATAGATTAGAATCTTCCCTTCCTTCAATTCCATTTTCCATCAACAATAATGCATTGCTCACTGTTTCAGGCCCTCTTGATGCCGATGAGGGTATAACATTATATAACTTTACCATTTTTGCTAGTAATTTTGATGGCCTTGGCACTAGTTTCAATGTCTCTGTGGAAATAACTGATGTTAATGACAATGCTCCGCAATTTCCTATTTCTCCAATTAGAGCAAATGTAACTGAGCATGTTGATGTTGGTACTAGTGTTGTTCAGGTTGTAGCTACTGACATTGATTCTGGTAGTAATGCAGAGATATCCTATAGCATTATACTTGGCAATCTTAATGGTGCGTTTGCCATTAACAATAAAACAGGACTAATAACAGTCAATGCTGATATTGACAGAGAATTAGTTAATGAGTTCACATTGACAGTACAAGCAGAGGACTTAGGTGAACCTTCTCGGTTGAGGAACACTACAGCAGTGATCATTACAGTTAATGACATTAATGATAATCCTCCCGTTTTTATGCCTAGCACAATAAATTTGACTTTTCCTGAGAATCAAGCTTTAGGTTCACTAAACATTACTATTAGTGCTACTGATAATGACGAGCCTGGCAATCCTAATTCTATCATCACGTACTCTATTACCTCTGGCAATGATGGCAATAGTTTTTCTATTAATTCTGCAACTGGTTTACTCTCGTTAGTGTCCTCTCTAGATTTTGAAGTAAGAAATAATTACTCCCTAGTAGTCGAAGGAAGAGACAATGGTGATCCAACAATGACTGGTACAGCTCTTGTTAATGTTGCAGTGACAAATGTCAACGATCATCCTCCAGTCATTACCCGTGATGTTGAAATCACTGTCCCAGAAAACACTCCCATTAACAGCAGCCTTGCTCAGTTCAATGCAACTGATCTCGACCAAATGACTGTTCATTTTTGCTTTGCCGATGGTAGCAATTCAAACGGTCTGTTTGCTATTGACTCTAAGACTGGTGTAGTTACATTAGTTTCTTCACTTGACTTTGAGACAGCAAGAGTTCATGTGCTGGTTATTAAGGCTAACGATTCCATTCACACAGACAATGCTACATTAACTGTTAACGTCCTTGATGTTAATGAATTCGCACCTCAATTTGTGGGCCCAGTTTCCTTTGAAGTTGGTGAAGCAAATTCTACTGGTGATGTGGTTGGAAAAGTAATGGCTACTGATAGAGACGGTAGTGACACTGTCATGTATTTCTTAGAGTCTAACTCTATCTCTGGATTGTTCTCACTGGATTCATCAACAGGCATAATAACAACGCGTTCTCCACTTGATCGTGAAGGGCTTGTTGAAGAGGGTCACTTTCTTCCTCCTGATTCAAGTGAAAGCGTTACAGTACTTGCTGTTGATAGCGGTACTCGTCCTGGCCCTCTTCGCACTGAACAGAACATTACTATCAGGCTGTTGGATATCAATGACAATAGTCCTGTTTTCAATCCTTCATCATACACAACAACGATACCTGAAAACGTAAATGAAATCACTGCTTTATTTAACGTTTCGGCAACTGATGCTGATTTAGGAAATAATTCTGTTATTCGTTATTCTCTCTCAGTTTCGGACGATTTTTCTATTGATCCAGTGACTGGGACTGTGTTTGCTACTAGTCCATTTGACCGTGAAGATGTCAACTTATTCAATTTTATGATTATAGCTACTGACCAAGGGAACCCATCTCTCTCAGGTAGTGCTTCTGCTACAGTAAGAGTGACAGATGTCAACGACAATCCTCCTCAGTTTTCTACAAATTTTGACTACGAACGTGAAGTAGCTGAAGATACACAAGTTGGTGCTGTTTTAACACAAATTATAGTTGTCGACGATGATCAAGGACTTAATGCTATGGTCACAATCACTAGTAGAGAGGGAGACAATAACTGTTCAACATCTTCTGAGTGTTTCTTCAGAATTAACAATAATGGGATTGTTCAACTCGTACGTCAGTTGGATTATGAAACCCAGCAACAGCACAATGTGACTTTGATTGCCGTTGATTCTGGCTCTCCAAGTCTTTCCTCAACACAGCTACTTATTTTCAATGTAATCAATGTCGATGAAGCTGAACCAGAATTCTTAGGACCCTGTGATTCTTCAGTATTGGAAGACTCTCCTAGTGGAACTATAGTCACATCTTGTCCAGCTAGGGACTTTGATGAGGTTACAGGTGAGTTTACAGATGATATAAGGTATTCCATTATAAGAGGAAACGAGGAGCTTATATTTTCCATCGATGAGGATGGTAATATCACTACCGACACTGAGCTAGATAAAGAGTCTAGGGACCAGTATACTATAACCATTCAAGCTGCTGATAGTGGTAATTTAAGGACAACAATGGATGTTGTTATCACTGTACTTGATGTGAATGACCATAGTCCAGAATTAGCTGGCCCTTATGAAGTATTGATTACGGATTCCGACATAAATAATTATAGATCGTTTGTTGTTAATGTGTCGGCCACAGACAGGGATATTGGTAATAATGCTGCTATTGTATATTCTATTACTGATACTGAGATTGAGGATCAGTTTGCCATCCTAACAATCAATGCCACTGATAGGGGAAGCCCTGTTGCACTATCTGACAGCACTTCTGTAAATGTCACTTTCGAATCCTCTTGCTTGGCACAAGACTATCAGATTGATTCTGTTACAGGTGTCATTAGTGGGCAATTCCTTTGTCGTATTTCAATTTCTCCTCCGTTGGTACAAGTTTCTATTAATGAAACTATTACACTTCACTGTGATGTATTTAGAAATGCTGATGTGTCAGTGCAGTTGCTTAGAAATGGCAGTGAAATTGGTTCTGCTACATTATTGGGCAGTGGTGATTCTAGAGCTACATTCACAAGAGAATATGCTACTCTTTCTGATGCTGGAATATATAATTGTAAAGCTACTTCATTCACTACTTTGCAGACATTTCCTGGGAGCAATGTTCAGATACATGGTTTGTTATTTTATTATCTTTAATAATACTTTATTGTGCTTTTTATTAGTTCCAGCAAGAATAACTGTACCTCCTAGTGATGTAACGGCTAACATTGGACAAGCATTTGTTCGATTTATCTGTCAAGCTGAAGGAATACCAAACCCAACTTTTTCTTGGAGAAGAGAGTCTGAGGTTGTAGAAGCAAGTGGTCGTATCAGTTTATCGGGCAATCAGTTGGTGATTGCTCAAGTTGATTTGTTGGACTCTGGTACCTATACTTGTATAGCCAGTAATCCTGCTGGATCAGACAGTGCTTCTGCTGAGCTTAACGTTTTTGGTAAGCACCTATTCCTATTTTTACTCTTTACTTACATGTTAATTACAGGAGCACTGAACTTGCTTGTTGCTCAAGTTGTTGCCTTGTCAAACCCTGATCCTGTTCAGAACTGTAATAGTTTTGATGCTCAAAAGTTTGAGGTATTTACATTTTACAGTCTATTGTTATTCATAATGTAAATCTATTTAATTTTAGAAAATGATGACCCAAATTACAAATCACAAAACAATGGTTACTCAAAGTGATGGTTCTACATTATGTCAGTCTGATTTATGTCATCCTAATCCATGTGTTAATGGTACATGCAACGTAACTAGTGATGGCTATCAATGTACTTGTACCCCTGGGTTTATTGGAACTAATTGTGATACGGATAAAAATGAATGTGAAGATCGTAAGTTCATTTTTTATCAAGTCAGTCTCAGTTTCGGCTCCTTTTTTATTTTTATAGCTGCTCTTTGTCGAAATGGTGGCACATGTGAAAATGTACCTGGTGGATTTATGTGTCACTGTGCTGATGGTTATTTTGGTGAAATGTGTCTTTATAATCATGGTAAATGTGATTGTCCCCCTGGAACAACTTGTGTCAGTACTGATGCTGGTTCAACGTGTGTAGTAAAACAATCAGGGGATAACTTAATAATTGATGACCCAACTGTTACTAATATTGTATCACTTGAGAACACTGTCAATACACTATTGGAAGATCCACCAGTAAGCAGAAAATATAAATTTATTTATTTTACTTAAAAATTTACTAGAGCTCATCAGAAAAAAGACGAAAAAGAGAGGGCTTTGTAACAGTATGCAGTGGATATTTTGTACGTCTTTCCAGTTCGTCCAATACATATATGCTGGTATGGGAATGTCCTGATGAATCTCAGCCTCCAGATAGTGCAAAAATGACGGAAATATGTCAAACACTTGTTCGTTTGCAATTAGTGAAAGTGTGTCATCCTCCAGAAGGATCACCTATATCTTTAAGAGATGTACCACCATCTGAGTAAGAAAGCTTTACTGTACATGTATATTACATTATGTATTGTTATCATTATGAATAGTGTCGATGTTACACTTGTTCTTTTTGACTCTAATGGACGTTTAATGAGTTCAGACGATGCAATGAAGATTTTGAACAATGATGATGTTGTTAATAAAATGAGGGAAAGCGGTTATAATATATCTGGCTTTCGCCAAGTATCTCCAACAATTTCAGGAGTTGGAGGTAAATGACTTAAATAAAATAAGCCTTAATGCTCAACTGCACAAACTGATTCCATAATATCATCAAAGCTTCTTTTTGTTTTTATAGCATCTTCATCAAATAAAGTCGCTGAAACTGTTGGTATTGTAACAGCAATTGCCCTGGTCATGATCGTTGCTGTAATAATAATTGCTGCTCTTATTGTTCGTTACAAAAAGTAAAATAAGGAGCACTAAAAATAATAATAATAATAATAATTCTATAATAGGAAAAACAAGCGAATTAGAGTTCCAATGATGGAGCTAGATGAGAAGGTGGTAAGTCGTGATGATGATGATCGTTACGGTCCTGGTCTGAGCATAAACCTGCCCATCAATGATACAAGTATTACATCAGATAAAGTAGCATCCAGTCCACTCTCAAGTCCTACTAATCCATATGCACTCTTTGATGATCCAATTTACTCCACAAAACCAGCCCGTCGTAATAAGTCTGTTAAGAAATCTACCCTTGAAAGAGCCAAGCAACACCAGATGGGCAAATCCAGTTCTCTTGAGAAACTACTTGACGAGGAAGATGATAGTCCAGTTATTACTAAGTGAGTGACTGAGTGATACTAGTATTATAATTTTTTAACATTTTAATAACAGTAGTTTGGCACTACATGTATATTATATTGCACTTTTCATGGCACTATTGTTAATTCATTGATGTATTAGGTCATTGGAAGATGGAGATGAACCCATATATGGAAATATGAATTTTGAGTGCCACGGAAATGCTGGAGAGCGCTGGCAAAACTACTGGAAAACTGAAACAATTATAAGAGGAACTACACCGCCTATGTAAAGCAAATTACCCATAATATGCACAAATTTTTGTCTTAATCATGCAATATAATTTATAGTTATTACAGTATTTTACTAAAATTTTTAGTACATGATCAATATAGTTATTGTTTCTTTGTGTCTTTAATTCTGTACAAATATTCGTATAAGTTGGTTTTCAACAGCAGGAAATAAAGTAACAGGGCATGTGTGGTGATTTTTGACATGATTATAGATACAGACATAACAGAATACATACCTATAAGCCATAATGGGCAGGGATATATAATATTTAAAAAAGAGCTTACCCTGAACATGATAAAGCAGTAGGGTTCTTTCTCTCTTTTTGACAGAGAGGACAAGTATATGGATTAATCTAAGTAATTTAAGAATTATAATATTCAATAATGATTTATTACTTCTGGAGTGGCGAGTGGTGGAGGTTGCGGATTTGGAAGTGATCTGAATTTCTTGACTGCTCCTTGTCTTTCTCCAGAATACCACCACTCGATAAATTTAAGCAAAAACAAAAAAAGCGGACCAACATATTGCACTCCTTTTTTTAGAACATTACTACGGATTAATACTGTACCACCTTGATTATGCATAATCAATACTAACCTGGTATGTTTTGTACCATTATCTGGTGTAAAAGGCTATATTTTAACAAGTAAAATTAGGAAAAGCATTGCACTTACTTCGATTTTTCTAACTAACTGAACTCCTAATACCCTCAATAAAAATTAAGCAGCAATTATAATGACCTTACTGCTCATAAACAATTCAGGTGAATAATATAGTGAGTAGCGACACAAATACAACAACTGGAATATAAACTTCACTGCCTAAACAAAATCTTAACCAAAAATGAAATAATACTTCTCACCCTCCATAATGTAAAAATGTAAGGAATGGACGAAAAACCATAATACTTGAAGGATTGCTTCAAATTACTACGTGATTGTTCTAAGGGGACAAACTCACTCTCCTCAGACAAAAGCAAGTACCACTTTTCAATTTTTGCCAATGCATAAGGCACAAAGAGCTATTATAAAATAAAAACAATTAGCTATATATAAAGCAGAAAATCATAATTACCATTATAGCTAACGATTTCAAAGTTTGCCTCATCTTGTATGCATTACAACTGTATCTTTCAAGATCATAAAATTTCTCACTAATTGTAGCATCTAATAAAGACCACTGTACTACAATAGTTTGACGACTAACACTAACTCACTGCATCTCCACAGGAACAATCCTTGAGCAAGACCTTCAATAACCAAGCATATCTCATCAATGTAACGTGAGAGTCTGCTAATGCTGGGTAGACTGCTAATGACAATCTGTGCAACCATAAATAACAATGATAATCTACTGTAGAAGAAGGGATATTACTTTAGTCACATGTCTTATTGCCGGTCTCAGAGCCTGTGACATGCTGTCTTCAGCTATAAGTTCAAAAATAGTTGGAATTTTGTCATGCAACAATTGCTCATTAAAAGCAGCCATATTTAAGGTAAATCACAAATCAGGCACCTTTGGATATTAACTCAGGATACTTGAATAGACTAGAGCTATAATAATTTATTAAATAATAATTCTACTGATTAGTCAAAAAATATTTCAGTTCAGTTGGACACTCCTTGTAACTATCAACAGCACTTGTAATCTCATCGTCACTTAACATTAACTGTAAATGCTGATATTCTTCAGGATTTGAAGATGCAGATGACACCGGACAAAGAAGTTCTAATTTAACAAGTCTTGATAAGGCCTAAGAGAAATAATGTATTTTTTTCATTAACAAAATTACACCAACTTTAAAAACAATCCCTTTGTTTAAAAATAGCTCATTGTGTGAATATTTGGAAGCATATTTATGATATTCTAAAGAATAAGGATAATAATAAGGTGATTTTTATTAATTAATTTAATTTCTGTACCTTCATATATGATTTCATAATTTAGAAACTCATACAGATCATTGCTGGAGATGTTTTTGCATGTAACAATTAAATATAACTCTAATATGCTGAGATCATGTAATAATGAATGTCTTGACTGATGACCCGACACAACAAAATGATAACTTTCAAGTAATAGCGAAACTGTCAAATTGTTAACACTATCACTGCCTATCTTGGACACTGCATAAGACTGGTGTTGTATTAATTCCATCTAGCATTATGATACTTACTAATACTGATTTGAGAGACTGACAATCTGGCGAGTTTAGATGCATCGTTTTGAGAATAGATAAAACGCTATCATTTTTGCTAAGATCCTATAGTTATTGTTAAAGGAAAACAATGAATTAATGGTGACCATAATTGACAAAAGGTACCTTATGGCGGATTTTTAAATTCATCATTATAATGAAAAATATTAACCTGTGAGTGCTCTGTTAGACATCTATTGTTTCTAAAAGTTACATAGTAACTTTTTGCATCCTCTGAAGCAATTTTATGATAGATTGAGCTCAGGAAGTTAGATTTTTTTAGGCTATAAAAACCAATTTTCCTATCCGCCATAAGGTACCTTTTGTCAATTATGGTCACAATTTTTGACTCACTAAAATATGTTCATTCCATTTTTTACAGAATGGAGTTCCAGGACAAAGTTCATTATCAGGTGGTAGTTGTAATAATGATAAAAAAATTCTTGTAAAATCTTCAAACTGACAATGAGGAAAAAGGTGAACTACTCGATGAGAAAATCTTGATAGGACACGCTTCTCTAATAATTGATTAATGTCCTAAAGTATATAGCACAAAAAGATTACAAACAACATTACCATCTACTTTTGATACACATGTATTTATAAGTTTTTACTTACTAATCGACACGACAAACCAACCAAGGCTATGGGATTAACTGGGCTTTGGCAAATGTCTAATAAATTGTACAGAAGTGTTTGGTTCTTGTGCTGTGTGAACAAATCAAACTCATCTAAGATGAATATGACACATTTATTCCTTCTGTCACCTACAATGTAATAATTACATCAATTATTAGCAAGAGTATAGCAACGATCCTAACCTGACTGCAACCCATCTAACATGTAATTAAGAGCAGCTGAAGATGACAACTAAAATGCAATTATCACTATTGATACTTTTTATTGACAAATACCTTTTCATCTTCAAACTGTGAATGTACATCTAGTTGATGTGCAATGTCCAACAAGGCATGGTAATCATCAGTATGGACTAACCCTAGAATGTAATAAAAGGAAAAAGAGTATTTTCTTTCTAGTTTCCCACTTGCAAAAAGGATAGTTTAATATTAATAATAATTATGCACATGAGTTAATCATGGCTTCCCACAGGATTTTGGCTCATGCAGGTTCTTATCAGTTGCTCAAAAATTAGGCCAAAGATCCTGTGCTATAGTACAGGGTGTTTTGACCAAAATTCCAAGCAGAAATTTTCTGATACATATATACATGCTCTTATGTTGTGTAGAAAATTTGAGCTGATTCCAATCAAAATTGAATTTTTGATGAATTTTAAAAGTTGCACCCAATGCCATGTGTCATATTGAAGTGCACATCAGCTCATGAAGCAAGCTGTTTACATTACTGAGCATGCTTTGTGAGAAACCCAGGAGTTACTTTGTACGATAGTACAAATAATTGTAAAGAATATGAAAAAACAACAATAACTAGTTTGATTATCAATAAATATCTTAAACTTTTTTAGCCTATAATTTGCTACTATCCTTTCATACACATACATTTATACATGTAAAACAATAGTCAAAAAATTTTTATACCATTCAAATAAACTTTAATGAATAGTTCTTCATTCACAGATGAAGACAATGCTTTCTCAACAACCTAAAAAATATAATTAAAAAAATCAAAATTCGTCACACTAGTGGTAAGAGGATCTGATTTCTACCATTTACCGTATAGCGAGAAATTTTGGATGGAGTTAAATCTGGCAAAATTGCTAAATTTTGGTAATTGGAGAATTAGTAGCCACGTGCCATTGAGCATGCATATAATGGTTCAAAATGGCGAATTTCATTTTGGCGAATGGCTATCAAAACGCCAAATTTGCCAAATTTAATTCCCTTAAAAATATTCCACTATACGGTATAGTATTTTCACACATTATTTATATCAGCCTACATGTACGTGCACAGAACATAAGTGGGTGCAGCCACAATGAAATGATGAGTTTTCAATAAGACTAAGTTTTAAAAACAAAGATACTATTTAATATTTCCAGAAGAAATAGAAGATAGCAAAGGGCCTCTGAAAAATGCTATCTTTCAATTTTAATTTCATACTATACATCCAACTTTTATCACATTTACAACTATAAAAACAAAATGGTTTATTTTTGCAAAATCAGCAAAACAAAATACAGGGCACTATCCTAAAGAGTTAGTTTACAAGTTTTAAGAAGGAAATAGGCTGGTGAAGTAGATTGATGTTTCTTAAACTTGCACGATAGAGAAGCAGAAATGTGCATAACACATTTCTGCTTCTCTATCATGCAAGTTTAAGGAAAATCACTGTACTTCATATTTCCATACATACATTTTGATCTACATTAGTCTCACCCTGCCCCTTCAATGGGGGGGGCAAGACTACATCTACACATGCTGGGCACTTTAGCGTGATAAAAGCATAATTTACTCTAAAGCATCATTATAAAAAAAATTAATGCCAAGATCAGTGGCGTAGCCAGGATTTTTGGAAAGAGGGGGCAAGCTGTGCGGCACACAAAGCGCGCCGCAAAATTTTGCGGAACCACGCCCTTTTGGGGCATGGTTACACCTATTTTTCAACATGGCGGACTTCTTGACCGATCATTGGCAACGTTGAATACCTTTTCAGCCTTATAATGGCATCATAGAAAGATTGCTTTGGCCTTTTCCTTTCATATGTAAGTTGTAGAACAGCTTTTCCTTTCAAAAGCAGCTTATTATTTGATTATTTTAAAATTTTGAGTTTTAAAAAAAGGGGGGGGCAATTGCCCCCCTTGCCCCCCCCTGGCTACGCCCCTGAAGATATATTAAGTGCCATTATTACTAAAAATTGAATTTAAAAAGGAATCTGATCAAAAAAGGGTTTGCCAAAATTGCACTATATAATTAGTTTGTCAGCCTTTCAATTATACATAAGTTGAGGTAACTAATATCAGACATCAGGCTGAGTGATTAGAGTCTATCAAATTTAGTGAGGTGCAGCCTGACCTCATACACAAAACATGTCAGTGTGCATCAATCAATAGCATTCATTGGCTCGTTATGTAATTATGATTATTCAATTATACATTTAGAACAATGCTTTTACCCAAGATTTTCCAACACCCCTTGGTCCAATAACTAAAAGAGAGTTACTCTCTCCATGACTAGCACTCCTGTTTAATAGCTGCGTTACTGTTCTAGACTCATCAAACAAAAAATTCCAAGTATTATGCCAGAGCAATCATAGTACAGTGGTACCTTACAGCGTCTTCTAAATATTTAGGTTTGTGTTCAAAGTCATAAAAACTTTGGCTAAAGAATCTGGTCCCTAGAAATTGCCTTGCCTTTTCGAGCTCTGACATCATGGCACACTCCCCTCCAGTAGCCATTTTAATTTTGAGAGGAAAAGGCGGTCGATCGTTATGCGCATGCCCAGTGCGCAAGCGCACGCCAACAATTTTTGCGCAGAGAATATCCCGGGTGCCTTACTGTAAGGACTCTATCAGCCTCACTTAAAGCTAAGGTTTAGGAAGCGCCCGGCCTTTTTGTTGCTGATGGCTGGAAGAGGTGGTGCGGATAGCATTGTGGCATTTTCAATAGTGTGGCTCCTTTCTCAGAGTCATCTATACTATTATTCAGACGCACGGCTAAAATGCACGCCGCCATAGCTATTTTGACAGTTGGAAGACTCGGGAGTCTAGTCTCGAGAGGCTGTTGGAAGAACTGCAACTTTCTGCCTTGCTGCTTTGAGCTCGACTGCAACCGAGCTTAGGGCCTAGGTTTTCTGCTACCAGAAATAGTGTTCATTCTACTGCAGGCTAGAAAATGAAGCCATTGGTACTGCTTGTATTAGTATTCAGCTATGCTGCTGCTCAAGTTCAAGGACCACCCGGTCCACCTGGACCTCCAGGAAAATGCCCCAGTACATGTTCTGGATCAGATGTAAATTAGTCACTTAGTGCTAATAATTATTTTTGATTTCACATACTGATTAGGACAAGGGAATTGGAGGGGGTGTACAAGGTGACCCTGGACCTCCTGTGAGTACCTATTGAATTGTAGGTCTAAATGTTGTTCATTTCTAATTTTAGGGATCACCTGGTATTCAAGGAGCTGCTGGACCCCCTGGTCCTCCTGTAAGTTACAATTGTTTCAATTTTGATAGAAATTGAAATAATAACTATCATTAGGGCTCATCTGGTCCAGAAGGCAGACAAGGTCCCACTGGCAATAGAGGATCGCAAGGTCCCGTAGGATCTCGTGGACCTCCTGGAGCTCTTGGACAACGAGGAGCAGATGTAAGTACATGTATATTATGTTTTATAAAGAGTTTTCATTATTTGACAGGGTGCCGATGGTAAAGATGGAGTTGACGGAGAACAAGGACCTCCTGGACCACCTGTAAGTTTACATTTCTCAATAATTACTTTATGAACATTAAGGGAGCTACTGGTACTCAAGGACCACCTGGAGCTCAAGGACCTAAAGGACCTCAAGGAGACAGAGGACGCGATGGTGATGCTGGTAATCCTGGATCCTCTGGTGAAAAAGGACCTCAAGGAGATCCTGGACATAGTGGACCAAGGGGTTTACCTGTTAGTTGAACAACTTAATATATGTTTTAATTTTAACATCAGGGAGGACCTGGTGCAAGAGGAGAGCGTGGTGCTGCTGGTGCTCCAGGTACTGCTGGTCGTGATGGGCACCCAGGACAAGATGGTCCTCAGGGACCTACTGGTCCTAATGGAAAGGACGGAAGCCCTGGTCTTCCTGGATTACATGGTTCAAAGGGACAAAAAGGAGAAGGTGGAGTTACTGGAAGTTCTGGAGTTCCTGGAGAAAAAGGAAGCCAGGGAGATAGTGGAAGAGATGGATCTTCTGGAGCACAGGGTGAAAAAGGAAATCGTGGTGATCCAGGCCCAAGTGGACCTACTGTACGTAACAACTTGACTGTTATCAGCAATTGTATTTGCATGAATAGGGACCTGTTGGATTGCAAGGAACAGGTGGATTGCCAGGACCTGCTGGACCATTAGGACCTAGTGGGGCAGCTGGGCCTCCTGGAAGACCTGGTGACAATGGAGCTGCTGGACAAGCTGGTATGATTATTTGTTGATGTCTGCAAATAGTTCATGGAGTGATTATTACTCAAGGACCTCCTGGAAGTGACGGTGAACAAGGTCCTCCTGGACCAACTGGAGCTCCTGGACCTTCTGGTCAAACTGGATCACCTGGCAGGCGTGGTCTTAGAGGTATAAGAGGCCCACCTGGACCTACTGGTGACAACGGAGGACCTGTATGATTTTAAAATAAATTATGTCCTATTTTATATCATGGACGTAGGGATTTCCTGGTGTGCGGGGAACTCCAGGTGCAGCAGGAGCTCCAGGAAAAGATGGTGAAAGAGGACAAACAGGATTACCTGGATCTAGAGGAGCTCCAGGAGCTAGAGTAAGTGTCATTTATCTTATTTAACATTTAATTGTAAATGATACTAGGGGTCACCTGGTCCTATGGGAGCACCAGGCCTTCCTGGTGAATCTGGACGCAATGGTGCAGATGGAGCTGCAGGACAACCTGGTCAAGATGGAGAATCTGGAGCTAATGGACGAGATGGATCACCTGGTGGACCTGGATTACGTGGAGAACCTGGCGCACAAGGAGTACCTGGCCCAAGTGGGGGTCCAGGACCATCTGTAAGCTAATTATATAATTTTAATGGATTGATATGGTACAACTGAATAGGGCCCATCTGGAGCACAAGGACCTAAAGGCGACAGAGGTCAAATTGGTCTTTCTGTAAGTTTAAGATATTGCTAGAGTGTACATGTAGTTTCAAATTGTTTCAGGGCAAGAATGGAGTAGATGGTGAACGTGGTGTCAAAGGAGAGTCTGGTGCTCAAGTAATGCATTTAAAAATGTCTAAAATTTTTATTAGCTTTACTGATAGGGCATGAAAGGAGATAGAGGTGAAAGAGGAGATGTAGGATTTTCTGGAGTTCCGGTACATAGTGCAACTAACCATTTAATATTATTCAGTTATAATAATAGGGACCCAGTGGGCCACCAGGGACAGCTGGTCCTCCAGGAAGTGCTGGACCACCTGGGCCAGATGGAACTCAAGGAGCACAAGGATTTAAAGGAGACAAAGGTGGTCCAGGTGAAAAAGGAATAGGTGGAGAAAAGGGAGACAAAGTCAGTATCTTATCTATTGCTTGTATTATACTATGAGCAAATATAACAGGGAGACGGTGGTGATGTTGGACCACGTGGTGATAATGGTAACACTGGACCACCTGTGAGTTTATGTATAATGCATTCAGTTTTATGTATAATTATGAAAGGGAAAAGATGGTGCTAATGGATTAGATGGTGCTCCTGGTATTCCTGGTCCTCAGGGACCCAACGGGCCTCCTGGACCTGCTGGTGAACAAGGAGGTCGTGGTGCAAGAGTAAGTATTGATAGATTAATACATGTAGCTAGGAAACTCCACCACTAAATGATAGGGTGAACAAGGTCTTCCTGGACCAGCAGGCCCAGTTGGAGAACCTGGAGCAATGGGACCAGCTGGACCAGCTGGACAAGTTGGAGCACGTGGAGATAGAGGACCTCTAGTATGTTAATCATAACAGCTAATCAAAGTGCATGTACCCAATGATTAAATATAGGGACCTGCTGGCAAAGATGGAGATGCGGGAGCACAAGGTCCTGCAGGACCTCGTGTAAGTTTGAAAAGAACTATTATATGATTGTACTTAATGATGCATGTATAGGGTGCACCTGGTGTTGGTGGAACTCCTGGATTACAAGGTAGTCCTGGTATTGCAGGACCAGGGGGTCCAAGTGGTGCTAAGGGAGAGAAAGGTGAAGCTGGATCTCAAGGAAATGATGGAACTCCAGGAGCAGATGGAGCTCGTGGTGCAAAGGTATTTTAGATAGCTAATACTAATAGCATTTCAGGGAACAAATAGGGAAGCAAAGGAGACGGTGGTTCTAATGGAGGTAAAGGTGATAAAGGAGATGCTGGTGTAGCTGGACCTCAAGGTCGCCAGGGATTGAATGGAGGACCTGGTGCACCTGGAACACAAGTATTGCTTGCAAAAAATATTACCAATAATGTAATTATGGATTTGTACACTAGGGTCGTCCTGGACCTTCTGGAGCTAAAGGAAGTATAGGAACAGAAGGACCAAGAGGACCTCCTGGCCCTCAGGGATCTCGTGGACCTCCCGGACCACAGGGTGACGTAGGTACTCAAGGCAGACCAGGAGAGAAAGGATCTACAGGAGATAATGGTGGAGCAGGACCAGCTGGACCAAGTGGACCACCAGGCTTACCAGGACATGATGGTGCCCCAGGACCTGTTGGACCAGTTGGACCTTCTGGATCTAGAGGACCATCAGGGCAAGAAGGAGATCAAGGCCCTCAAGGTCCTAGGGGTTTACCAGGAACTAAAGGATTGAAAGTACACATTTGATATGATAATACTGCTACTGTGTATTGATTTGCTACTATAGGGAGAAAGAGGTGCAACAGGACCAGGTGGACCTGCTGGACGAGATGGTGCTCCAGTAATATTTAACTTATTATGTGTATTTATAATGATAACATTTCAATGCTAGGGTAATGCTGGTGCTGATGGTAAGAATGGAGCTGATGGTGTTCAAGGAGCAACAGTAAGTATTGTGTATGGCTATAATATTTTATTATCAAATTTAATTATAATTTTAGGGACCTACTGGACCACCAGGACCTACTGGATCTCCTGGATCACCTGGTATTCCTGTAAGTCAATAATGAAATGACACAGCAGTGTAGTCATTGTAATGACATTAATTTTTAGGGTACTGCAGGAGCACCAGGATCTGCTGGGCCTGAGGGTGCAGCTGGAAGAACTGTAAGTGCCTGATTTGTGATTCTTATTATGGCATATTATTGTATTATTAGGGAGAGAAAGGAGGTTCAGGTGATCGTGGTGAAAAGGGAGGCAAGGGAGATACTGGATCTAAGGGAGACACAGGTGAAAGAGGTCAAACAGGATTGCAAGGAGCTAAAGTACATAAAGCAAAGAAATACATAGACATAAGTGATCAATAATAGGGAGATAAAGGTTTCACTGGCCCTCCTGGTCCTCGCGGTTCAACAGGAGAGCCTGGCTCTCCTGGTTCAGTTGGTATTCAGGGACCTCCAGGACAACGTGGCCCACAAGTAAGTTAAACACTGGCTTATTCCTAACTCACTGTTTCTTGCTTAGGGTCAACAAGGTCCTGCTGGACCAACTGGTGATACTGGCCCTGTTGGACCTGTTGGCCCACCAGGTCCTCCAGGTTTCTCAGGAAGAGATGTATGAAATAATAACTTAATGAATTATAATGTACATGTACGTGTCACTGTAGGGAGATCAAGGAATGATGGGTGCTCGTGGACCACCTGGACCACCTGGACCTCCTGTGAGTATAATAATAGCATCACGCTTCTATATTTCTTAATTATTAGGGAAAGAGTGGCACGTGTTCTGGATGCCAAGTCTCTACTACTCCTGGAAAAACACATTATTATGTTGGTCATGGTATCAGACCTGATAATGCTGTTGATATTGAACTTCCTAAATATGGAACACTGGAACATCCTGCTATATCTTGCCACGATCTTTCAATGGAAATTGAAATTACACCAAGTAATAATACTTATAAAATATTATGTGTTGTTTAATGAATAATTTCAGATACTACTTATTATATTGATCCCAATGGTGGCAGCAATCGTGATGCACTTGAAGTTACATGTCGCAAAATGGAAATTTTCAATGGCGAATGGTTTTCATGTGTAAAATCCTCAACTAGCATCATGGTGAAGTGGCAAACCACATTTTGTATTATATATGTACATGTATATGTACCTTTTATGTAGGACTTCTCAGGATTAGAATGCAAGCAGAATAGTGATGATGCACATAGTTTAATGGCTTGCAAGGTATAGCATTGCAAATAAATGCCAATTTCTAAATTAAATGATTTTATAGAAAGAAAAGGTATTTTCTTATGGCCGTGCTAAGCACCAACTTGAAGCACTAGCCATGTACAGTTACAAAGCAGTTCAATCTGTAGCTATGAGCTGTAATGGACAACCAATGAGAATGTATGGATGGAATGGACAGGTAATATCTATCGAGAATTATAAGGAAAACAACAAAGACTATTCACTTGAAATGGAATTAGGTTGTAAGGTAAGAACATTTTTCTTTTATTCCAATGTTAATCTATTTCTTATTGTGTAGAATCAAGGCAATAGTAACATTTATACTATAGATACTAGACTAGCACACACACTGCCTGTTGTGGACATTGATGTATCATCTCTTGCAGGAGATGAAACTCTGACTGTTAGTTTAGGAGAGGTTTGCTATGCATAAAAAGTCACTTGACTGTGAAGTACAAATACCCGAAACTCGGACTAATGGTAGTTTTGTAAATTGCATGTATTCCTCTCTTTTCATCAGTATAACTTACCTTTATTACTCAACACCACTCTACTAATGATGTTGTGTATTAGAATAATCTTTGTGTACGCAATATCACACTAACTTATTTTCTTACTTAATGTTTGTATGGAAGTTTTATTATTGTCTTATTGTGTTATTAGTACATTTTCATGGGCTTACCATGTTTATATGTATGTATGCCACTTTTGTTTTGTTGTAGTTTTATTTAGTTGTTTTACTAAAAACATACTTATGACAAACGAGATCTATAATATAAATATGCAAAACTAACAGAGAGTACAAAAAGCATTAACTTTGGAAAGAGAGTGAAGGCTTGAGGCCAATATAAAAGACCAGCCCAACAGAGTAGTAAAATAACACTAAATAAGGGAAAAAATAATATTGAAATGTCACATTGTTCATGTGGTCTGTCTTGGTCTAGTCTTGCTTGTCCTGAAGTCCCTCGTCTGATGTGAACATGAACTGATGTTTGATCACTAATTCCTAATTCTATTAAGGTACCACTTGTATCCTGTAGCATTCTTCCTTGATAAATGAAGTAAATGGTATCTCCAGCAAGGCTTTCATCATTAAAGTATCTCCTATTAAGACAACATAATGAATTGGTATTAAAACAATTTTTAATCATGTTAGTACATGTATTTAGTAAAGTGGAATAGATCTTTCAGTAATGATTTTGGACTTGAATTTTTGGTAGTACACATGAGAAGTACATTCAGAGTTTCCCACAGGATTTTGGCATGGTGCTCATTTTTAATGGTTATAAAACTTGAATTTTTATTTTAAATCATCAACTCATCAAAATAAACCTTCGTCAATAAATTCGGCTATGCGGTATATTAGAAACCATTATAAAATTGGAGAATTTTATCTTCGTAATTTTGTCACAGTGCAGGGTCTTTGGCTCAATTTTTACAGCCCATTGACAAGCATTTTTGTACTTTGTGCTGCGTGTACGCGAAGGGCACTAATTGTCAAATTAAAACTCGCCAACTGGGAAAATTTACTGTTTTTGTCAAATTTTTTACTTGTCAATAAATCCCGCTATACGGTACATGTCCTTATGTCCTTATCTTGTATATCAACTTTAAGCTGATTTTCAATCATATTTGGTAATTTTTGAAGTTGCTCAAAACTGAGGCCAACAATCAAAGCTATTGGGCCAAATTCATCAAAATGACTAGGAAAGAATTGTTTATTTTCATATTTTTTTCCTGATACACATATATCTCTGTTGTACCATATAGCTAGAATCTTTTATGGCCCAAAATTTTCGTGAATTTTTGCGATTAAATTTTACCAAAATAACGCTATACCATAATATCAACTTGGAGCTGATTCTGGTCAAATTTAAATTTTTATAAATTTTAAAGTTTTTTTAAAGTTGGGCGAACAAAAAGGATATCTTTTGGTCTTTGGCAAAATTATTTTTTCAAAAATGGCTAGGTAAAAATTTTCCACTTTGATAATTTTTGATAAAGATGCCCTAATGCTTTGTATCAACTTTGAGCTGATTCCAATCAAGTTTATATTTTATGAATTTTTCAAGTTCTTTCAAATGCCATGTGTTGTATTGTAGTGTTTGTCAGCTCACGAAAAATGCTGTTTATTTAGCTCAATAAGGGTGGGCTCAAAATATTTGCATTGCAACTACAAGTGCTGTATAAACACGCAAGTAAATGTAAAGATAGAGCAGAGTCCTATTTTTGTGTTTATCATTGTGTAATATAGCACTTCCAATCAGTCACAACATAAAATATTCTGAACCGCCTTCAGCATGTTTGTGGAAAACTCTGTTTATGTTACATCTGCCACTAAATCAATGAATAAAAAATCAATTTTGAGAAAGTTATACAAAAACATGTCAAATACTTAGTCTGGCCAATGGCCACCCAGATCCAACCCCTGTGGGAGAAGGGTCTGGTACAATGCTGATAACTTCGTGCTGTTAATGTTAATTAATTTTAATAATAGTTAATACACATGTTAAATAACAATAAAGGGTGCTGGCGAGTGCTGTCACAGAAGCTGCCAGGAAAATGGACTATTTGCACTAAAAGGGGAACAAAATGACTAAACAAAACTCAATCCTACAATATAGGCTATAATAATTAGCTACAATAACATTAAATCTCGATTGGTCACGTCAGAATTCTGATGGCTACACAAATTTTTGTAGCACCAGGCCTCTCTCTCACAAGAGTTGGGTCTAGGTGGCCAGACTATCAAAAACTACAGAAGGCAATATCTATTTATTCATTCAGAAAAACCATTTTAAACGTGAGATATTTTGTGCAATAGTAATGTTTTGCTATTGCCCAATAACTAAACTACATGTAAAAGGAAGGGTCTGACTGGACATTCATGTTCAGGCTATATGTACTCTTTACCAGGTACTTAAACTAATTAACAGTAACCAAACCTTTTCAAATCTTCAAGGGTTGAGTTTTCAGGAACATATACCATACGAGTTCTCTCCTGAGTCACTAAGCGAAGTGTTATTGTAGTTTCTGTCAAAGATGACCTTTGCCGAAGATTATTAGACCTAACTTCATTAGCCTGATCAGAAACTTGATCCATTTCAACTTCACCACCTAAAAAAGTAGCATAATATTGCAGTACATCATACAACTATTGATTAGCTATCCAAGGCTACCCAGATCCTAAACTTCATGAAACCATAGACCCTTTGCAACAAATTCATATTATCCAATGCACCACTCTCATTTCTATCTATATTGCATTGGTAGAGACAGATTACCTTGCCTAAAATCAGGCTCCTCATTTCTTCTACTACCTCTCCTGAGCAGCCATAAACATAGCAAAAGGGTAACTATACATAATAATACTCCAAAAAGAAGAACTTCATCTCCAACTCCATCAATAATCGATGCTGATTCAGCCATTTTAGAAAGGCTTGGTCTATTCTTCTATAAAATTAACAATAATTAATTTTAATCTTACAATGAAATTTTTTTCTAATATTTTAAAAAAGATTTGTATTGCTTCGTTAGTAATGATTTTTCTGTCTTAATTTTCTTCAAATCTATCTTTAAGTAACGCCGGTGCATACGATACATTAATTCCCTTTTTTCAAAAGGGTAAGCTGTTATTATTTTCTCCAAGGTCTCATCGCTGTTTTTAAGTATTTCTCCTTTACTGTTGTCATCATAAAAATATTGAGTTATCTAATAAAAACTACAATAAAGATTAGCCATAAAAATTAATATTTACCTCTTGTACTGAGTTACAATGAATACCAGTGTTATGTCTGATACATTGGCCAAGTAAAATATCAAATGATTCATCAGGCTGGGCTTTTTCTAAACAGTGTTCAATGTAAGGTGCTAGTTTACTTAGCATCTCTCGGCTTAATATGATACCTGTGTTTCCTTTACAAAATATTTCTTGATTTTGAAACAAATAATTTTGCTTATACCAAGGAAGTTGACTGGGTGCTCCGAAATAAATATCTGATGTAGGATCCAGTTTATTTAAGAAATTGGCAAGTTCCTTAACACGGACATACATTTTATCATTAGCAATAAGAAACCAGTTAAAATTGTCATTGTATTCCTGATGAAGGTAAAATAATAGTTCAAAAAGCAGTGGTTTGTCATTACTGGGGAGACGAACTACTGATAGGTTTGTAGACTGCAGGTAATTGCTATCATTCACATAGTAATCAATAAAATTAGCACTTTGTCCCCATGTCTCAGACACAGAAAGAGCATTTGTCAAGGAACTTGATGATGCAATAACAGCAACATAAAGAGTCTCATGGAAGCTGATTTCCTCTGTCAAATAAGTTCTTGTATCCACTGAACTTTGTACCACAATAGAAGTAGGTGCAATAACTATTGCTGATTGCCTTATAAATAAGAAACTTGACAGTAATCCAAGCAAAATACCAGTGAAAAGCATGAAGGGATGGTTACGAACTAAAAAGAGCCCTTGCATACTAACTCTGAAAAGGGGTGGTTTTTGAATAACAGTATTCATCATAATAACTATGATCGTTTAAATAATAAATCTAATAAAGAACAGAGATAAAAATGTATAAAGGTAATGAAATTGTTATGGAAATGCTTTTTTTCGCTCCGTTACTCTTTGAACATTCTCTAAATCTTTAGAAATTTGTTTCCTTTCTTTGTCAAGTTTCTTAAGTTCCAACTCTAAAAAGAACTGATGTATACGATACATCATGTCAGTAGATTTAAATGGATGTATAGTGAGAAGTGAAGCAAACGTCTTGTCCCTATAGATAGCAGGATTCTTAAACACAGCACCTTTTGTATAATCCATATAAAAAAGATTTCTCATCTAAAAGAGAATAAAATTAATTTTCAAAATGTGAATAAAAATATTTTGTCTAAAATTTTAAAAAGGTAATATTAATAATAACTGAAAATTCATCAGTGTATAGCTCTCTATTATTATTTTACTTATTTGTAACCTTAAAATATGCCAATATAATACATTCCATTTTCAATCAATCAATACATTATCGATAAATGCACTAAAAGAAACAAACCTCATGTGCCCATGTGCATTGAATATTAAGTCGTCGACTAATGCACCTGCCAACTTCTAGATCTTCATTCCATGACACAACAACATTCTTTAAACATTCCTCAAGATGTGGTACAAGTTTAATTAACAGTCCACGACTAAAAATAACTCCTGGTCCACCCATACAATAATGCTCATGTTGAAATAGCTTAATCCGTTCAAGGTCATTCTCTCTTCCAAAACCAGGTGATCCAATATAGAGTTCAGCTGATGGATCAAACTGTGATAAGAATTCAATTAATCTAGGAATCCTGACATATGCATCATCATCTGCTCTCATGAACCAATTGTATTTATCAATGTAATTGTCATGCATGTAGCGTAGCATGCGGTAAACTTTCTTTTGTGGTGGATAAGTGTCATCAACTCCAGGCAAACTAATGACAGGTAAGGAATGAGTTTTGCCAGGTTCTAACGCAGCAAAATATTCAACTTTTGGTGCATTCTTGGCCCACGTATTATTCACTGCCATAGCTCTCGAGTCAAGAAAGTCAACAGCAGTTACAACACCAACAAATATAGGATCCCGTAAATGAAATTCATCTTTTACATATTTTGGCCTTTTTACCTTCTTAGAAATAGAAGCAGTACTAAGCCTAACAGGTTCTTGTGTGGTACCAATTGTTGCTTTCACAGTCGGTGACAAATCTTCTTTTAGAGGTTCTTTATTTTCCTTTGAAACGTCTACAGATTCGTGTGAAGACTCCCTGACCACTTTTTGAGGAGCACAATCAGAATTCTTGACAGCATAAAAGCTGTGTATTAAGACGAGGCAAGAAACAAATCCAAGGACAACCAAGAGGATATCCCTCCCTAAAGTCCGACATCTTGCCCTCATTCTTTTATAATCGAGAGGTGTGTCACTCACAATCATTATTAATGGGGCACAGTGCGCATGCGCAAAATTTGAAATTTTCCTTAATTTTAAATTCAAAGATATCACGTGATCAAACTATGAACCATAACATAATACGTTTTTTATACAACAGTGCTTTATTATTATAATTTAACATTACTGTTTATGGTTTCGCTATTAGGTCGTATCTGTGGTGGCATTTTCCCACAAATCCTCCATCGAGCATTAGTGGCAGAGAGTGATCTCTCAAATACCACATAGTCTATAACATTTTTGGGTCTTGAATGATGACCCTTAACTAATCTCCCAGCTAAGTCATATACTGCCATTATCTAGAAGATGAATTATAAACCATTATTATTGCAAACAATTACTTACCTGCTGTGTATGTAGCCTTACAATTAACTGACCAAACAGATTATCTTTTTCTATAAGTGGAGCAACACGTACAGATACGATTCTTGGTCTTTCAATCTCTTTAATAAACTTCCAATTAAACACCTTGTTTTGGAATTCGTTTTTAAGAGTCTAATTTAGTAGCAAAATTAAATACATAAAATTATGCAGATCTATGCACCTCTGAAGCACTTTCAGTTGTCATGCTCTTTAGTGTTGCCTTGTCTTTGCTATTACAAAAATAAAAATACAAAGACAAACAAAAAATGGTGTACTTTTGAATTGCTGTATTTACAGCAATAAATTGTTCTTGTCCCCACTGAGCAAATTTACTAGGTTTTAGAGGATCAATCTTTCTCAATCTTTTCTTCACCGTGGCAATTCTAAAAGCAATACAGACACAAACTAAAATTCATTCAATGACCAGTTTTAAATAAGATACTGTATAGTGGGAAATTCTGAAGAGAATTAAATTGGGCAAATTTGGTGTTTTGATAGCCATTTGCCAAAATAAAATCTGCCATTTTGAGCCATTATACGCATGTTCAATGGCATGTGCCAAATTAAAATCCACCAATAATTCAAACTTAACAATTCAACAAATTTTACTTCCTCCATAATTTCCCGCTATACAGTATCTTTAAAAATGCCCAGAAAATAGTATCAAGACAATGTCCAAGTATGGTTTCCCACAAAACATGCTAAGTGAGCTAAACAGCATGCTTCATGAACTGGCAAGCACAATGGACCATGGTAAAGAATTTTTGCTTTGGGGCAACTTTAAAATTTGTAAATTTGAGTTCAAAGTTTCTACACAACATTAGTACATACATGTACACATACACATGTATATGCATTAGAAAAATATCGAAATGGAAAAATCTCTCATTGATAGCATTACCGCCAAAGACCATGTAGTACAGCGACTTTGGTCTGATTTTGGAGAAACCTTAAAAATTTGCAAAAAATGAACTTTGATCGGAATCTACTCAAATTTTCTAGTACTACACAAATATAGTTTATTTACATGTACAGTATGCATCAGAAGATGTAATAAAAATGTAGAATTATTTTTTTTAATTTGGCCTAAGTTGCTGTTCTATATATTAGAACTTAGGCCAGATTTTGGAGCAACTTAAAAACCCATAAAACTACTTTTGTCGGAATCCCTTCAAAGTTTCTAGACAAAGCATCAGAATAACGTCATAAAAATGGAAATTTTCTTCCTAGCAATTTTCAGCAAAATACCCTGTACTCTAGTACAGAGAGTACAGGGTCTTTGACAAATTTCTTAGGGAACCTTAAAAAATTGATGTCAAGAAGCTGAGCAATGACTACTAAGCCAAAATCTTGTGCAAAACCCTGATCTAATATAATATAGCATCGTCAAGTAAAATATACCATTTACTAACCCATGGATATTCTTCAGGCTCTCTTTAATGCCTTCAAAGCGCTGACGCAAACCCTAATGATATCATAATGATAAATCTAAATAACATGTATTACTAATTTTTGAGGTTACTTTTACTAAAGTGGGCATTGCTTATAGTTGGGCATGCATACAATTTTTACTGAAATATTATCATCACTATTATTTGAGGGGATCACACTATGTAATGATCACACATACATGTACACGTACGCCTCCTTCTCATCACATTAGCATGTTAAATTTAATCCATGTCTGTTCTCTTACACATAATGCTTTGCTTTCTCATGTAGCTGTAGTGCGTATAATTTCCAGGGTAGTGTGGCAAGATAGTGGTCGTCTAGTACTAAAAATATTTTAATGCCCTCTGTGATAAGAGCCGTTCAATTAATGGACCCATTACTACCATATATTGGGTATATTTCAATTCATGAAAAGTGGTGTAAATATAAAGTTCAATGATGGAAAAATTCGGAGGCCTTTTATATTCCCAAAATATTTTACTTGCTATTATTTCCATCAACCACCTAGCCTGGTAAGTAAATCTAAGCATTTGCTGACTTCTCCACTTCCGAATCAACCTTAACAACACTTTTAACTGACAAAGAAGGCTCTTTATGGCCTTCGAGTTAGAAGCCATGGATAGTTATGAAGCCAAATGTTCATAATAACTGCAATACCACATATCTTCTATTCCTTTTTATCCACATAATTATTTTAAAATTTCATAATATTTATTTTCGCAATGGATTGCTTCTTCCAAAATTATTAATGCATTGAAAATTACCCGATACCGTAGGTCGGGATATATTCGTGGCTGCAATTATTCGCGGTCATAAAAAATTCAATTAAAAACCATGGAAACTGTTAGAGCGTTGCTATGACAAGTAAGACCACGTGTTTAGTGTTCAGCTATTCATCTGTTCTTTAGCAGCTATAGTGGAGCCATTCACCAATAGCAAGTCCTTCTCTATCTGTTAACTTCTTGTATGGACCTCTACCTCAGAGCTCTTTCAGCCTCTTTGCTGCAAATTGTTGCTGGTCGCGTGCTGGTGATAATAAACCACGCCCAAGTCAATAAACACTAACTAGAATGGGTGGAGAGTCCCAAAATACGGCGAGGCACTAGTTCTAAAAAGAACTGGTAAAGCAGCTCCAAAGAGCCCAAGGCTTGGTGACACAAGAAGAACAACAGCTCAAGAATACTGCAGCAAGGTGCTTTTCTTCACTATCGCGCCGTTTTCAATTAAAAAAACACCTCGGTTTCCATGGTTTTTAATTGAAATTTTTTTATGACTGCGAATAATTGCAGCCGCGAATATATCCCGACCTACGGTATATGGTATTAATTAACCACATGACACAAACTTACCATGAGTGTGTAAATTGGTAAACGAGCAAATTTTTCAGGTGGAACATATTTAGAAATAAATTGATCTAACAATGAAAAAATGAAATAATGTAAATAAAAAAGGTAGAAATTACCTAAATTCTGAAAATTAATAGGATAAAGTAAGTCTCTCACAGCCCGCTCTTCTGATTTGAGTGGTAACCTTTCCATTTTGCTATTCCCACGGACATTCTTCCGCTTTGTCCTCTTCTTGCGATAAGGGTCACTTGCACCATGTCCACCCCATTTCAGTTTACTATTCATATCACTGAACTGAAAAGTGACAGAGCTGCTTGAAAGCATTCGACATCGAAGATGAAGCATTGAGACAGACTTAGAAACTGCCATAATGCCAACCATAAACTTACACGTGGAGATTCACAGCCAATCCAAATATAAATTAAATAACTTTTATCAGGCTTAAAAACCAGGCCTGATATTAGACATGGATCACGGATCTTGGGCAAACAGTCAAGATTTGATCATGGAATCAGTCAAGATTTAATCATTGAATCAGTCACGGTACAATCATGGTAGATCTATATCTATCTGACTACTGGATCAGGCAAGAGCAATAGGCATGATTGTCAATAGGTCTGTACCACTACCAGTACTGATAATACAGATTTGATTCAGATCACAGCTCATTGATGAATGATGAATATCATTTACACCTTAGACCACACCCACTTCCAGTTCATTGACTTCATTCAGTCAATTCAGTCTTCCATGTCCGTCCATGTCGAAGATTTGATTTGATTTGATTTTCGAGGTGTCAGTCGTCTTATTCGTTAGTTAAACCAAAACAGTGTTAAAGAGTAAGTTTGAACCTTAGAGTAATAAGAATAGTTCATTATGATATGTAAATTATAGGGTATAGTCACTGAAATAGCCCGTTAAACCTGAAATCCACCCCACTCTCCATATTTAAAATGGCTGCTGTCTCTTCTGATGATGCTACCAAGATCAATGGCCAGAAACAAGTCAATGATGTAATGAAAAGAGTTCTCTTTGAGGACATTGATCAAGATGGAAGTTACTTCTCTTACCTTTTTATGGAGAAGATATTTGGTGACAACCGTACTTGCCAGTTTTGTGGGGCATATGGCTCTGGTTGTGTCCCTAATGGGAGTAACTCGCCTGAGGTTTACGTCATTGAAGAAGGTATTGTTGGGAAGCAAGTTGTTGAGTGTGTCCGTTGCAAGAAGCAAGAGACAGTTTTATCTCATGAAAACATCCCGATACCGTCAGACGAGCGTTTGCGTATACATGGCCGTGAGGTCCGATATTATTGCAAGAAAATTAATCATTTTGAAGTTTTGCATGATCTCCTGGAGTTACTTCATGTTGCTGCTATTGAAGATGTCAAGAAGAAGAAGGAGAAGCATGCTGAAGTGGCGAGCTTTATGATGCAGAAAGCTAAGAGGGTCTGTGAAGAATGGTGTAAATCAGAGTATGCTGAGCTTAGGTATAAGAAATATCTCAGGCTACGTCATGAAACTCTTATTGATAGCAATTATAATCCTGAATTTCCACCAAATGCGTCTGAAGATTACAAAGAAATGTATCATATGATGGCCACAAGTTTTCGCTCAAACAGAGAAAAAGTCATTCGATTACTAAAGCTTATGAAAGAGTCTCTTTTCGATAATCCATCACGACCTTCCTTCATGCATTGGGTTAGTATTGCCATGATGCATTCAGAGCAATACCAAGATTTTAAAAGCCAGTACGACCCTCACACGTATAATTCCATAGAAACAACTGACCTTAAGGAACGCTTTCTCTCACTAAATATTCCTGTGGGTATTAAGAAAATTCCAGTCGTTTTTGTCCTGTTTGAGCTACCTCGATTTTATCACTATGTAGATTTTTTAACTCGCAGACTGGGTAAGCGCAAGCCTCTTCAGTTTCTAACTGAGAAAGAAAATGAAGAGTTAAAAGCGATACAGGAGGAAGATAGTGGTGTGCATAGATCTAAAGATGGGCCGTCTCATGATGTACACATGAAGCACGTTCCGCATCCTGATTTACACCAGAAGAAGCACCAGCATCCTGCTCATAGTGAAGAGGACGACGAGTTGAAAAAAGTTGAACAGTTAGTTTCTGGTGTTGTGAGTGATCATGTGGAGCATAAATTAGGTGGTCGCTTGCCTAATAGTCGAGTGATTTATGAAAGGGAGTTGAAGCGTTATGGGCCAGATAAGGAAAATGGAGAGGAGTCAGGTTCGTGCGTGATACGTGAGGTTCTAGTTGAGAAGCCCAGAGTTGAGCTGCTATTAGAAGATTTTGATGACCCACTTGAGCTTGATTCAAAATACCGCCATGAGCCAAGTGATGTAAAGGAAGAGTGTAGAAGGATTGAGGAATTGTATAGGAATCGGAGCCTTGTTTCTCATCAGATGAAAGATGGGACACCTATTCCTCCTCGTATTGTGACGGCAGAGCAGTTTCGTGGTGCTCTTTTACGTCAGAAACACTACCCTTTGCCCAAGAAACCTCCCATTCCCTTAGGATATTCCACTTGGGATGGTAGATGTAAGGTTGTTGTGAAGTTTGAACTTGAGACTGATGAGTCTGTTTTAACACCATTTCAGTTGGAAGATGTTGTCAAGAAGATTCATACGATGCCATCACAGTCTTCTGAAAACTTCCAGATTAAAGTTTCTCCTCCTGTAAAGACTGGAGGTAATTTGCCTATTGAAGCTGGCCCTTCTATTTCTAGCGATGGATCTTGTGTTGTTGTCCAAGATAGATCAACAACACTTCCTGGGTCTACTTTTGGTATACATGCACCAATATCAATACCTATTCCACCGTCACGCTCACAAGATCCAAATGCTCCAGTGTATGCTAGTGTAGAAACCATTGAGAACGTTCCTACTGATAAGCTGCTAGTTGCTACCAATACTCATGGATTTGATTTAGAAACACTAAAAAGAGAAATGAGACTTCCTGATACTAAAATTGTTCAGAGTGTAACCGAAACGGAAATACGCAACATGCCATCAACTGCTTTCTATCGTATTGTGAAGAGTTGTTCTGATGAAATTATTTTGATTTCAAAGCGCTCCGATTTACCACCCAGTGAATTGAAAAATTATGAAGTGTCGTTCCCTTCTAAACCCAAGAGATGTGATAACTTACCACATGGGCTGACCCCTGATCTCTTTGAAGGTGAAAAGGACTTTATACATGATATTCCCATCAAAAGGCCTTTTGGAAACTTTTCTATATCGCCTCTCATGTTTGCAACTGATATACACAAACAGCCAATACCGATTCTGCCATTCATATATTGCTCATCTGATATTGACGACATGACTCACTCGACTGAAATTGTAGCTAATTTCTTTGGTGTATTAGTTGGGAAAGGTGTCCCCGATATTTATCGTCGTGTTTTCGAAAAATATTTGAAGATTGGTATTGTTTTAGCACGTAGGGCAGAGTTGTTTGAAGAGGTTGAGTATTTTGGTGCTATAAAGAAAGCAGAGCAAAAAGATTTGCACATAATGATTACGATAAACCTGCCAAAGCTTCTTGATGAGGCGGACTATGAAGCTAAATTACTTGGTAAGTGACTGTTGTTACTAAAATTATTAATATAATTATTATGATTAATAGAAGAGCCACTTCTCATAAGAAAGTCTGCAAATAAGAAAACAACAGGTATTGTGATGGTTTAGATTTTATATTTGACAATAATTATTATGTTGCATTATTAATAGAACAACGTAAGCTATCAAAAAATCTCAAGTCAGGTAAGGGTAGCCATGCCTTTTGTGTTGTTTATGATTATTATTTTTGATCGATTTTACCGTATAAGTGGTTTTTTCGAGGGAATTATATTTCGCGAAATCTGCTAATATTCCAATTTGCAGATTTTAATTTCGCAAATTCTACCACGTGTGCCATGTGGGTACCATGTTAAATTGATTTTTGTGGATTTTATTTTTGCGAATCAGGAGGGAATCCTCGAAATTCACGAAATTTGCAACCCTCGAAAAAACTGCTGATACAGTATTATATTGTCTGTCCACAATTAAACAATTTTATTTATAGATGTGGTTACAACAGATGCTATCATTGAAGCAGAAGCTGGGGATGGTGAGGATTCTGGGAAGAAAAAAAGAAAGAGGAAGAAGAAAAACAAGAAGAAGGTGGAAAATGGTGTTTGTAGTCCTACAGAAAAAGATGTAGATCCTACGTTGCTTGGTGAAGATGTGAAAGATAAATCTCGTAAAACCGCAAGAGAGAAATTTCGTCAGTGTGACAATTGTCATAGCCCTATTACTGCTTCAATAAGGTTGTGCTCTGGCTGTAAGAGGGTGTGCTATTGCAATCGTGACTGCCAAAAAGCTCACTGGAAGGAACACAAGAAAACTTGTTCTTATGTTCTTAAGAAAGAATTAACTGGATAATGTGACACCTACACGTAATGCCTTTTTTACTTTTTTGCTGAGTTAAACTTTTTAATTTTAACCCAGTTTTTTATTAATTGGGCGAAGCCCACTAAGATGTGTAGAGTTTGTTTGTATGTATGCATCTATGCTGGTTTGTATGTGTACGTGTATGTCTGTCTGTACACGTATGTATTCCGTATCTCCTCTATATATCTGCACATGCCTGCAATGCAACAGATTCTAAATTTCAATATTTCATTGACAGTGAGAGTGACTGGACCTAGGCCTTGGCTGATTATGCCAGCATAATTTTGAGCATAATAGGGCACAAAAGCATAAGCATAATGTAAGCATAATAGAGCTATAAAAGAAAATTTTGAAAAAATGCATTGAGAAATGCAATCAATAGGCACTTGCACTCAATAAATTAACTGTTTTATGGTTAAACAGCTACTATTGCTCACAATACTTTCAAGAACTTCATAATTGAATTCCTGGCTCACATTTTTGGGTGGGGCTAAGTTATTATAATGAAATTCATCGGAATAATTGGGAGCATAATGGCTGCTTGGTAGAGCATAATAGAGTGGCTAAAATTGAGCTAAATTGTCCGCCATGTTGGGTGGCAAGAAGGCCAAGAATGAATGGGGGAATGGAGAAAAAAATTAAATAAATTCTGCAGTTGACATTCCAGGCTAATACAAGGTAGGAAATGAAGATATTGAGTAAAGAAGCCTCTATAATATTCTGCAGCGAAGTATGATATCTCATTGATGAAAAATCGCAGTTTTTTTCCATTCCTCCATTCGTTGCGTGTACATTCTTGCCACTCAAGATGGCCGACAGAAGCTCCGCCTACCCCGTTGATTACATCCGTGCAACAGCTCTATAGAGCTGTTTTCTGAGAATTGCAGCATAGCATAATAGAGCAATTTTAGAACATAATCCGCCTAATCCTAAGTGGCCGAAAAAATAAAATGGCGATCAGCACACGGGAGTCAGAAGTCATGATTTTCCTACTTCCTAGCAACAAGATAAAGGCAAAAACACCGTCCAAAGACTTCTCCGACTGCTTAAAAAGGTTACAGGTGCAATTAAGTAACTATGAAATTTCTTTTTGTTGAGATAAACGGTGAAAATCAAACAAAATGTTATACCGGTTTATTTTCGCGGTAGAAAATTCTCGCGAATCTTGCATTTCTAAGTTTTCTCGAAATTAATTTTCGCGAATGGCTTGCAGGCTGCACCACGTGGCAATGGAGAACAGAATTTCGCGGCGAAACAATTTTGCTCTCATCTCTGAACCGCAAAATTTCGCGAAAAATATTTTTACCACGAAAATAAACCGGTATACTGTATTTTAAAGTCAGTTTAGCAAGGCTTAAAGTAAAAAACAATTCAGGAGTTTTCTAGCAGCAACATAAGGTAGAGATTCTGTCTTTTCCAGCTAATAATCTACCAGCCTGAGCCCTTTATTTTTTGGCAAAACTTGGCATGAATCATGAATGCGCATGCGTAGTACTGTAAAAATGGCCGACGAGGATGTGCCCGTAGAGATGGAACTTGAAGAAAAAGCCCCTGCTGATAAGACTGATCAAAAACCCGTTGAAAAGGATAAAGACACGTTAACTTGTGAAGGTAGGAAATGCTCTGTAGACTTATAGACTTGTACATAAGACAGCCTGAAACAGTAGAGACCCTTTTTCATTAATATTCTAATTGGAGCACAGTTACTGTGACTATTGGTATTTTCATAAGAATATTGTCTATGTAGATGTACGTGAGCAAATGAAACTGATTGAACGTGGCGTTATTCAGAAAGAGTCTCGTTACATTGTTCGTGCGTTACGGTCTATTCAAAAGCTAAGAAAACAGTTGAATGACAATGTATTATGGAATCTGTTATCATCTCTCCCTTCTGGTTAGTGCTCTACTGCTACTATTATCACTATTATTACTATATACTACTACTTTTTAGTGAATAAGCAAGTGCTGGCTTACATTAATGAGGTAATTGTTTTAATAATTGAAATTTAAAATTTTGATAACATGCATCTACTTGTGTAGCCAATGGAGACATCAACAAGTATTCCACAATATCGAGCTGGCACTCGCAAGAATATTGTCTTACCCGAAGTTGAAGCCTTTCTACATCTCTTAGTTGTCATTAAATTAATTGATAATAGTGAAATTGAAAAGGTACCATTTAAGTCATTGTACATGTATATGTTTTATAAATTATGCTTTCATTGAGTGTTAGAAATTAATGTGGTTTTGTTATCATGTACTAATTCTCTAGGCTAGAACTTGTAATACTAAGTTACTGGAAAAGCTAGTTAGTTTAAATCGACGCTCACTGGATGCTATAGCAGCTAAAGTATACTTTTATCAATCCAGGATATTTGAATTACAAGGACAATTGGGTTCTTTGAGAAAGTAATGGATTTTGAGTATGTGTTTTTAAAATTAATTATTCTTTTAGTTTCTTACATGCTCGTTTGAGGACAGCATCTTTGCATTACGATGAAGAGAGTCAAGTACATTTTATACTATTTTAATTTAATTTGGTGTATATGAATAGGCTGTACTGCTTAATCTTCTCTTGAGAAACTACATCCATTACAATCTTTATGACCAGGTAAGTTTATGTGGCACTGTAATAGTTTTTATTACTGTATTTGTACTTTTTTTAATTTTAGGCTGATAAACTTGTCTCGAAATCCAAGTTTCCTTCTGGAGCCAACAATTGTGAAATGGCACGTTATTTATTTTATCTCGGTTAGTGACTTAGTTTATTAATAACTATCATACATATAATATAATTTAAAGGAAGTACATCTTTGCCCACTAGAAGGCATAAAAATTAAAATTGGTGTGTGTGGTCATAAGTATAGACCACCCAGAGTGAGAATTGCTTGCGTGGGAAGACTATTACGGTTGTAAGGCGTGGTTTACAATGAAATAAATTCCGGCCGCCATTTTGGTTGGCAACTTTCAATGGAGAGCAAACGGGACGACATGAAAACAAACCTGTATTAAGAATTCTGGAGTGAATTTGACCAAATCTTTCACAGGATAAGCTTAAAGGTAGCTATTCTTTCTTACAACAAGCACTTTTTAGCTATTGATAGAGCTACAGCAGGTAAGTGAGGCATTTTCTTCGTGCCTCCATTGACTTCCTTAACAAACTTGCCAACCAAAATGGCAGCCAATTATGGCGCGTGGGGGGATAACGTATATAAAATTAATGAAATTCATAGCTTTTGCAATTCTCACTCTGGGTGGTCTATACTGTCATTTATACACCCTGATTGTTATTAAATTGTATACAACTTTGAAAAATAGTTTGTAGTTTGGAGATATTATATGCTCATTTACTGAACTGTAAATGATAGCCATGCCTACATGTATCGCTTCTATTTTGCCTGGCCATAACTGGCATTTTATTTACACTGGACTTGTTCCTATTAACAATAAGTATTATTCATATATTGTACATGTAGGTCGTATTAGAGCAATTCAGTTAGATTACTCAGAAAGTCACAAGCATCTAATTCAAGCCATTCGCAAGGCCCCTCAACAGTCAGCTATTGGGTTCAGACAGACTGCCCACAAATTTGCTGTTGTAGTGGAATTACTGTTAGGTGACATACCAGATAAAGCAATATTCCATGAACGTGTACTGGAGAGACCACTGCAGCCATACTTTCAATTGACAAAAGGTATTGGAGCCAATGATGATAAAAATGATTCCCTCTCATAGCTGTTAGGAATGGTGATTTAGTTCAGTTTGGTCATGTCTTGGAGAATTATCAGGGTCACTTTCAAGCAGACCATACTTACACTTTGATTGTGAGACTCCGACATAATGTTATCAAAACTGGCATTCGTCGAATCTCATTATCATACTCTCGCATCTCATTAAGAGATATAGCTGATAAACTGGGATTAGATGATGCTCTAGATGCAGAATATATAGTTGCTAAGGTAAGGAGCGAGTTTATTTTAAATGTATGTTCTGAATTTTACTGATAAACTTGATTTTAGGCTATCAAGGATGGTGTTATTGAAGCAACTATTAATCATCATGAAGGTTACATGCAGTCTAAGGTATTTTCATTCTGTAAAACTGAGTCCAATGTTTCATTATTCTGTTATTGCTTTAGGAACATGTTGACATTTATACTACAAAGGAGCCTCAAGAAGCGTTTCACCAACGAATTCAGTTTTGCCTTGATTTATACACACAATCAGTAAAGGTGAGTGTTTATCAACAATCCAGTAATGCTAGATTGCACTTACTGTTTGTACTGTCAGTAGAGCATGCCTAGTTGGCAGTGTTGAAACAACAAAATAATTATAATGTATTAAAAATCTGATTCAGGCTTTATCTTAAGTGTTTTTTGCTTAACATAATGTCACTGGGCTGATTTTTTTGCACTGAAGTTTCACTTTGTATTGTGTATTTGTTTTTTTTTGTACAGGCTATGAGATATCCACCCAAATCATATAAAGAGTCAGAAAACGTAGAAGTAAGCATACTGTCAGAATCATAATACTAATGATAATAAATACATTTTAAGGAGTTAAGAGAAACTGAAAAGCAGCTCATTGAGGTTGTTAAGATGGTGGATGAAGATGACGAGGAGGAAGAGGAATTTTAGAACCTTATTATTAGCATTATATAGTCACCCACAATAATTATTATTAATCATGATATTGCGGGAATATAGTACTGTAATGACACATCTTGATGTAACAGGAAAAATTGTAAACCACATCCATCCACAATATCTAAAGAATTATTATGGTACAAAATGTAAAAATTTGATGATTCCTCACTTACTACAAATGACTTTGATAGGATTAAAATGACCTGTCAAAACATGGCTGAGTTTTTTTATATCCACCCTAGCTTCATACATGACAGTTTTATCTAATTCATCATCATCGTCACCTGAGAATAAAAGATAATTAGATACACATGTAGGAGAGAAAATATTGGGGAATACTAGTTTAATTGAATTACGTACGGAATTTGTGATTCGTCAAGTTTTTGAAGTATGTCGTGGCAGTAACAGTGCTTGTTTCAATCCTGATATTTAGTTCCCCACTCATATTAGCTGACAGTGTCTATCATAAAATATCAGCAATAATTATAATTATAGGTACAGCATATGACTGTGTCATCTTACAATATAATTGTCAAGTGACTTCATACGATCAATGATAGTCTTTACTTGCTTCAATGGTGGTAGAAAAATGCTCACCTATAATAATGTATATGTAGATGTATAATGTACAGTATAGTGGGAAGTTTTGGAGGGGATTAAATTTGGCGAATTTGGCATTTTGTTAGCCATTCATCAAAATAAAAACCCGTCATTGTGGCCACAAATTCACCACATTACAATTCGCCAATCACCAAAATTTAGCAATTCGCCAAATTTTAGTCCCTCCATAATTTCCTGTTATACGGTATCACTCGCAGTAGGAAAATCACAAAAAGTCTTACATCAATATCTGGCATGTCTGGTTCTTGATAGTCAGCCCAAAGTCTCTGAGGAACAATATTAACTGGTACCTCATGTACAACATTCCTATTTCCACCAGTTACTGTTGCCTTTGGAAATGTACCAGTTGTACTAAATGTCAAATTATTTACCTGTATGATATCTATTAACAAATAAGCCCCATTACGTTTGGTCAGTTTCATCTTAACTGATACAGCAGTACTTGTATGACGTAATGCTCTAGCCAACTGTTCCATCTGAACTTCAAGAAAGATTTCGTTATGTTCATCACGACCTTCAATCCGATATTCTGAAAAAAATTTACTCTACAAATTAAAGGTATGATAATAAGAAGCATCATGCTCATTAATGATAGGTGGTTTTAATATTGGCGATTCAGCTTGCAAACTGCCAATCACCAAAATGAAATTCCCCGACAATTTAAAGCACTATACGGTATTATCATTATGTCCTAGCAATATTGCATTACTTATCTATACTTGAAAAACAGTGCATGGTCAAAATAACAATATGACTACTTTTACTAACATTTAAAATACATGTACATGTGCTTCATAGATATACTGCTTTATGCCTTTTCTAATGAGTGGTAAAATTTAATAACACACCCCATCATGCTTGTATATTTCCTAAACACCACTTTCCCAAATAATCAAATATACATGTACATGTATTAAAACAATTCAGTACAATTTTTACCACACCCCTTTAATTTCTTTTGCTTAAATTTCAATATAGCACTTTATTTTCAAGAAGCCAAAACTCTTGCAGATTTCTAAAAAATAACAAATTTCATGGCTAGTGCCACACCCTTAAATGGCAATGAAATATTTTGTAGAGCTTTAATTTTGTGGATGCATGTTAATCTGTGAAACCATAAAAGTTTCGTTCCTTGACGGACATTGATAATAAAGTGCTAAAGCACTATATTCAATTACCCCTTCAATTAGTACAATGTGGTTTTACCCATTGATAGTAAACAGTCCCATAGCTCTAGGATAAGATCTATGTTTTCCCTATCATCGAAATGCCCAATAGCAGAGGAACAACAAATATAATATCACATAATTACCTGATTTAGTTCACACCACATATTGATAGAACCTTTCCCGGATATCACAAAACAAACTTTACCAGCTGATAATCGAAGGACACAGACTTTAACATTCTTAGCCAGCGTAGCCACAACATCTAAAAACAGTCATTAATACACACAGTGGTCAGCATACTTACTCGATAACCGTGTGATACTAACAGCATCATCCAATCTAGCTCTAAATTTCATATTTTCATCAAGCCGCCATATGCAGTAACATCACACCTCCCACGTGTAGACTTGCGCGGGTAATAAGGCGGTAGGCCAGTACAAGAGGGAGGAACAGCTGAACCCAGTTGTGTCTCTGACTCTCGGTATTATTTCAGTTTACTACTTCCTTGAATTTTCTGTATTCGTTGTTTAGTCTATAGCCATGGCCATGGTAAGTCTTGAGGATAAGATGGACGGGTACGAGAGACTGGAGAAGATAGGAGAGGGAACGTATGGGGTTGTGTATAAAGCTCGCCAGGCTACTCATGGTAATAGAGTTGTGGCATTAAAGAAAATACGTTTAGATGCGTAAGTATTTTTAAATTATACATGTACAAAATGTTTGATTTGTGTTTGGGCCTTGCGGTGTGTAATTATATGGGTGGAGGGGACTTGGTGAAATAAATTGAGCAGAATTTTAAAATAAAAATAATGCTGTGTATTAAGATAATTTTTAGGCACATCTGTTAAAATTATTTTAAGATTTTTGAGGGTTTAAGCATTTTTACATGGTGAATAGTACATGCCTTGTTACTGTATTTTACCTTATTGGATATATTTCAATGCATTATAAATTTTGGATAAAGCAATACAGTTAAATATTGGGAAATTTTAATGAAAACGTACACGTATGTGGTACTGTGCAATACATGTACATGGCTGATTTTGATTCATAAGTGGAGAAGCCCACAATATAATATTAGTTTACCAGACCAGAAATACATGTGATAGCAGATACATGTACATGTATATATAAAATAATTTTGAAAGTTTTAGTAGGCTTTGGAACTACAAGTATTTCATCATTGAGGGATACCCAACATACATACATTGTACCCAGCTTCTTGTTAGTAAAGTTCCTAAAATCCTGTACTGGTATTAAATTTTGTCAAATTTCATCAAACATGGCAAGGATAGAATTCTTATTACTTTTCTGATACGTAATATTACATGTTCTTTCATTGTGTGGAAAGTTTGAGCTGATTCCAACCAACAATTGAAATTTTTTATTAGTTTTTAAAGTTTGATTACAAATTGGGCCAGGCCATACATGGCCTTTTTGTCAAATTGGTTCCAAGAGAATTTTTATAATTTTCTCTGATACATGGTGTACGATTACATGTCCTTATGTTGCGCAGAAGGTTTGAGCTGATTCGATCAAAATAGTTTTTTACAAATTTTTAAGTTGCTTCAAAACCGAGTAGAAGTTATAAAGTCTCAGGCCAAATTTGGCCAAAATTGAAAAGAAAAGAACTCCCCATTTTTATAAATTTCTGGTGCATATGTACATGTACATGTCCTTATGTTGTGTACTAAATTTTAGCTAATTTCAATTAAAATTAGATTTTTGTTAAAAATTGGATGAAAGTCCCTATACTAAATGTATATCATACATAGTCTCGGGCCAAATTTTGGCATAATTGAAAGAAGAGATTTCTTCAGTTTTATAAATTCTTTGATACATATGGTACATGTACATGTTCTTGTGTTGTATAGAAAGTTTGTGCTGATTCCAATCAAATTGCTTCAGAGTTGCTCCATGATATAAGGCTTGTCAGGTGTCGGCATGCTTTTTAGATCACTTACATGTAACATGCTTTTGTGAAAACCAGGTCGACTCTTGAGTAATTTGCCCAGTGTTATTGTGAAATTGGTTCATTTTCACAAATTTTATGTCATTATGAAATTTTTTGCCTTAATTTTTGCAAAAAATTAAAAACAGCCATTTTAATGAAAGTGTAGCGTAAGTGATTAGAAAGTTACCCAGCACTTTGCTATTTCATTTAAAATAGAGAATGTGAAGGTGTGCCATCTACAGCTATCAGAGAGATATCCATATTGAAAGAGTTGGATCATGTGAACATTGTGAGGTAATACAGTATAATTCTATTAACACAATTACTGCTATCACTAATTCAGCTTACTGGATGTACTCTATTGTGACCGTAAGCTCTTTATGGTGTTCGAGTTTTTGGACTATGACCTTAAGAAGTACATGGACAGACATGCTCCAACTGGTATACCAACAGCAAGAGCTAAGGTCCAACATTATTTTGTTTGTCAGTACAATGATATCTGGTGTGTAGGATTATTTGTATCAGTTACTGGAAGGTGTGGCATACTGTCATGCTCATCGTGTATTACACAGAGACTTAAAGCCACAGAACCTGTTGATCAGTAGTGATGGTCGTATTAAACTGGCAGATTTTGGATTAGCTCGTGCCTTTGGTGTACCAGTGAGGACATACACTCATGAAGTGAGTAATACAACGTAATTTAATGTAAATTTATCTTATAATTAATTTTTTGTTTTTTTAGGTAGTTACACTTTGGTATAGATCTCCTGAGTTGTTGTTAGGGTCACAGTATTACTCTACACCGGTTGATATTTGGTCTATTGGATGTATTTTTGCTGAAATGGTAACCAAGCGTCCACTTTTTCCTGGTGACTCTGAGATTGATCAACTGTTCAGGATATTCAGGTGAAACGAATTTTATCAATTAAAATTCTGTGATAATTAAGCTAATCAATATAGAACTCTAGGAACTCCTGATGAGTCTGTATGGCCAGGAATATCATCATTTCCTGATTATAAGAGCTCTTTCCCAAAATGGCCTCGCCAAAATCTGCAAAGGATAGTAAAATCATTAGATACTTTAGGTATCAATCTGTTAGAAGTAAGTCATTAAAATACTCCAGCCATTTAATTAATTATTTGCTATAGCAAATGCTCTGTTATGAACCATGTAAACGGATCACAGCCATCAACGGTATGCGTCATCCATTTTTCTCTGAATAAAGTTTGTTAAAATACTAATAACCTTTTAAATCATATTGCTAGCATTTATCATTTTATTGTAAAGTTGGTGATGTACATACTACATACATTATTAGTCTTTAAAATTTTTCAAGTATTAATAAAAAGTCAGTCATCATCATCATCACTGTCGTATAGAGCATTCCTTTTAAGACGACGTGGCTCATCTCTTTCTTTAGAAATAGATCTACTACTGCTCACTTCATTATCACCACCACCACCATCATCGTCATCTGAATCAAATTGTGTTCTGACTCTAATCCTCTTTGATGGTGGTTGTTTAGCTTCTCTTTCCTTTCGTAATAGTTCTAGCGCTTCTGATGGACTCAGTGAAGGATCTAATGTTAACAATTGTAGCAATAATTATTAATAATGTTAACAACCAATAATACCTCTATCATTAGCTGGTTCAAGGTGTGGATTGTCATCTACATGTATAGCAATTGATATTATGATAGTACTATAATACAAGTATTAACTTCTAACCTTCATCATCTGACCAAGATACGGCTTCATTAGTCATAGCATTTGAATTTGTACTCATGTTTTGTATGTCTTGTGTTTCTGGATTGGATACAAAATACAAATGGTTATCCATTATGTCAAAATACCTTCATCTTCTGGTACAGAAGTAATTTGACTATCAGTGTCTCTTTGTGGTACATTTAAGGATTCAGTAATTGTTTGTAGATTGTGTGGACTCATTGACGATGGAATCCTCCAGTACATTTCCTATAAAAGGCTAATAACATGTTTCTTGTGTGTTTTGTGTACCTGCTCACTGGGGGGCATTAGACCAATGGATATCATTAAATTATGGAATACTTCAGTTTCCAATGCCTCAGCAGTTGATTGTTCTACAGGTACTACACACAGTTCTTCCCATTCAGAGTCCAATTCTCTGTCTTTTGCTTCATCATTAATGTAAGTACTAAGCCAAGCCAGTTGATTAGAATAACCATTAGTATGAATTGCTTGAACTAATTTATCAACATTTCCTTCTAAAAATAATTATATATCATTTAATAATAAACATTTTAACTCAGTAACAGCTAACTTTTTCCTTTCTTTTTGACAGTTTCTCTTGGTTCTGTCTCTACTGAAAGAACCTCATCTCCTTGGTGCTTCCTTTTTCCAGATGAAGGTTGCATCAAACCAAGGTTCTGTAATTGTTTCTTAATGTCTCTTACACCTCGTCCTATAATGCAGCCAGACATAGAGTACGTACATTAATTAGTGAAATCATAGATTGGTGAAATTAAACCTGGAAATGAGCACAAAAGTTGTTCTATGGATGCATTAATATTTTCAGATGGCTGCCAAAGTGATTTTAGTGTGAAGAGTTCTTCCTCTGACCATGGTTCCTAATATAATACACAATGATCCATTTTCAGTAATAGTGTGAATTATAATTACTTTGTTAGTTTTAGTCTTCTTGTGTAAGTCTTTTCTGCTGCTAACTAACCCTTTTGAAACTAGTTTTGACACAATCTAAAAGTAAAGTGTTATAATTACTGTCATACAAAAATAACTATAATTACAATTCCTCTTGTCCTACACTGCTCACTTGGCAAGGCATCTAAGATGCAGCCCACTATGTCTATTGAAGTATGAAAAGTAAAACAGGAACAAATTCTCATTACCAGTTTCATTCTTGAATTGTTCATATAAAGAAGATAATTCTTCCTCTTGTTCTCTAGTCCAAACATTTCTGTTTTCTTTCAGCTGTCTACATGTAAATTAAAATAAAATTATGACAGTGGAAACAATGTAATAATAATTAGTACATTAATAGTCTAAACCAGCCCCTTCCCTTCCCTGCAAAGGGGTGGGGTGAGACTAGTACATTAATAGTGCCACTGAGTGCATTCTTTTGATAAACACTATTTTATTGACAAAACTAGAACAGAAAATCACAATGATTAAAGCTAATCACAAAATTTTTCACGCGTATTAAGAACATCTTAACACTCATTGATCTACCTCCCCCTATTATCTCTTATGTCATCAATTTCACTGTTTGGTTCTGTATTAAGTGAGCTAAACAGCATGCTTCATGCATGAGCTAACAAGCACTACATGGCATTTGGAGTAACTTTAAAAATTTATAAAAATTCAGATTTGATTGGAATCAGCTCCAAGTTGATATTGATTTAGGCCTGATTTTTGAGCAACTTGGGAAATCCAAAACTTGATTAGAATAAGTTTAAAAACAGGTAAAATTATGTATTAAAAAATGAGAAGTCTTTCCTAGCCATTTTGATGAAATTTAGTACGGGGACTTTGGCCAAATTTTTGAGCAACTGTATAATCTTATAAAAATCCATTTGATTGGAATTAGCTCAAAGTTGATACACAACATACAATGTAAGTCTATGTACATGTACAGTATATGTATCACAAAAATTATAAAAATGGATATTTCTTTCCTTTTCGTTTTTGACAAAATTTGGCCAAATAACAAAGGCTACTTGTTGGTCCAATTTTGAGCAAGGTAATACTAAGAGTACATGTATCAAAAAATTTATAAAAATAAAAAAATCCTTTCTCATGATTTTTATTAAAATACCCTCTACTAATAATAAAAATATAGAATAAGGCCCTTGGCCCAATTTTGAACAACTTGACAATCCACTGACAAGAGGCCGCTAAGCACAATGCTAAAATCCTATGGTAAACCATTTATTCCATTGGTATTTAAATGGTCGATTTGAAATTTAAGCTAGCTGGCATGACATGTACATTTATTCAAGCAATACATATACCGGTACATGTATATTAATGAAGAAATCAAATTTAAATTATGTCATTAATACTTTTTGCGCTGAATAGCACCATAACCTTCTTTAAGCTCATAACACTCCCCACTAGTTTTCCAAATCAATAGCTCTGCAAACATCATCTTATTTTGCTGAGACAGAATCAAAAAATCTGCAACAACACGTGAACTAAATTTCTGTAACTCCTAAAAAGTTAACACATAATTAAATTATTACCAGTAGTCTATGTCTAACTCTGTATCTTGGGAGAGGAGGTTCATCCAAAATATCAGAGAAGATTCTAAAGAGGGACATTTGGAAGAGCATAGGCATCATTTCATGTTTAATTGATATTGTATGCAACATCTTGATCACAGCATGGTTCAACTCATCAGTGTTGCTTTTGTAGTTAGCAAGAGCCAAACTATAGACCTGAACAATCTTATTATTAGCAAACCTACAGTGTACATGTGAATGCACATCTCTAGGAATTTAAAAGACTTTATCTTACGCTGCTGTAAATCTACTCAAATCCATTTCAAGTTCAATACTTGTCACATTCTCTTGGACAGCTATTCAGAGATACAATGATGTGAATAATATATACATGTATGCACATTAACTAACAACCTTCCTCCTCCTCCTCTTCTTCCTCTTCATAATCATGACTAGTAGTTACTATGTGAAAAATGAGATGACAAATGACACAACAGTAGACACTACATACTAATTACATACCTGATAAAGGATTAAAAAATATTTCTCTCAGCACAGAGATTTCACTTGATGGCGAGACCGTGTTTGAACCAAAAACATCATCAGGCCATACTTCACTAATTTAGGACATGGTGAACACATAAAAGACACATATTAATAAAATACCGAGCAGCTTTCATCAAAAGTACTGCTTCACTAATGTTCTGAGTCTTAAGATCTTCATGAATATTTTTCATAACTTCAATCCTTAAGTAGTAATGTCAATTTCAGGTAGAATAATAATAATTTAACTTACTTCTGCTCTTCAATTGGGATATCACTGGCTCCATCAAAGGGACAAGGTAGCTCACTAGCACTGGCAGTATTAGTTATGACATGTTGAATTTCACTTTCCAAACTTTCCCACATCTCCATCAACTGGTCTTCAGTTGGTAGTTGCTGAGAGTTAGTTTTCTTTTTTGCTGCAGTACGTTTCCTTTTCTTTTGAATAACAAGTTGGCCATTTTGCTTAGAATAAAGCTTGACCAGACGCAAATAGACATGAGTCATTTCTATCACATCTTGCAGGAAACTAAGTTGCACAACAGCTTCATTGTAATTTCGAAGTAACATCACAAAAACATCACGATACTCTGGGTGATAGAGTAAGTTACTCAAAATGACTTTTGAGCTCTGAACAACTGTATCATCTTTGGATTGTATCATTTCCTGAACATGTAGCAACAGTTCCTTGTAAGCTGAAACTGCATAATGCAACCTACATGAACAAGCACAGTTATTTGATACAAACTCAATGGTATACACATAATACAGTAGTAAAACCTCAAATATCTAGAAAGTGATAATCCTGTATGCATTTTGAATTTCAGACTCATGACTAGAACTAGTCTGGAAGTGGCCAATTACTGTACTACACAATGTATAGTTCATTAACTAGAACAAACATGTACATGTACATGTATGGTAGTACAGAACAGCTTGTGGAGCAGTAAAAATGGTGCTGACAATAACTTTCTTCAATTAATAAGGCTTAAAGAAGCCTTTCTCTGTGGGACAATTATAATTACGTGTAGCTTTAGGCTCAATTATTTTAATTATGTAAACTTTCATAAATCCAGACCAAATTTTATTAAGTGTTCTGGATAATTGAGGTTACACTATACATTACATGCACATGTTATATACAAGTAGTATACAATATAATGCACATACCTCTGTCCCCATTCAATTGCAGCATGTCTTTCTCTTTTGTTCATACACATATGCTCATAATAGCTAGCAATTAATTGTAACACTTGATGAACAGTTGGCAATTGAAGTGATTCACTAAAACAGTGACTGCAATCAGTTCCAATAAATAATTATATGTTACCTCACAATATCCACACGAAAGTTATGCAAGCGACTGAACTCCATAAAGAATCTAAAATAAATTATAATGTACATGTACATGCAAAATTTTTTATAGGCACTTACCTCATTGCCCATAAATAATAAGTTTCATCATTTTCCATTGAGTGCTGCCTCTTAATAGTATCCTAACGTTTGTATTGGAATTGTGTTTGATTTGCATGCTAATGCATGTACATGTACATACTTTGACAACTCTCATGAGGACATTAAAGCAATAATCAAGCACTTGAGCAGAGAACTTCTGTAGTACAACTCTATTAAGATTATACACGTACATATACAAAATTATTAAAATGGTATACATGTACATGTACATGTACCTAATGCTGTAAGTAGAGGGTCTAGATTGGAAATCAATGATCAAGCGTTTCTTGGGTTTAGGTGTACGTCTTGGTCTCTTTTCAATATCAAATGAATAATCATTAAATCCTAAATTGGCACAAACACAGTGAATTAATTGGTACATGCACATCTAAATACATGTGTGTTTACATGAATCGCATTACTTTGGATAAATACTTTTTATTTACTTCCAAATATGTACAATGTACATTATGCAAAACTTAATACTGTAAATCTGAAAATTTATGCAGGAAAAAATTTTCTTACTTAAAAATTCTACTGTAATTTAAATTGTTACATAAAAAGACTGTGCCATGTATTATCAAATGTGGTATGTAATAACATATGTGATCTATTTTTTGCAAAATTCCAATCAAATAAAACTAAAGACTCATTCCAGATAGATACAAATACCAATAGTTATGCTGTACATGTACCTTGTAATGATCTGTGGTAGATTCGGTTTCTTCCAGTAGAAGTGACCTCGTTGTCAACAATATAGACACCTCCAAATTTTGAATGCCTATAAGTTTAATAGAACTATAAAATTAAAAGAGCCATTACCTACTACCAAATGTTCGTTGTAATCTTTTTTGCTTTACTCTTTCAAGTTCCATCAATTCGTCAATTTTACTGTTAAAATTCAAAGACATGCAACGTGCAAAAAATACTGTAGACTAACTTTTCATCATTCTGCCTTTCTGTAGATGATCTAGCTCCGCCAGCTGTGGCCAAGTTAGAAGGTGACTATAAATCAATGGCTCATTATTATTATAAAGCATAAATAATACTTGTTCTCTTAGTAAAAGGAAGAGTATTTCCAATACATGCATGCACCATTGAGTCTAAAAACAATAAAATATGACAGATAAAAAATATTGCAATAATACCTCATTAGGATTACTACCAAGGAACAACAATAACTCATCAATTCCATTAATATGAAGATTCCTATGAACTCCATCAAACAGTTACAATTGTTCCCATCCATGCTTACCAAATTATTTGATCATGGACATTGACATCATCATCTGTCCTCTAAAAGAGATGGTCACAATACACATAAAGTGCATGTACATGTATATGCATTATAGAATGGACAAACTATACCTTTTCTTCAGCAGGGTCAGATGGTACATGTAATACATTTCTCAAAAGCAAGAGTATTCTTTCAATAATAATAATATCATCATCGTCACGATCTTCCCAATCCTATAAAAATATCAATTATATGGCAGAAATTCCATGTATAACTAGCCTTCTGACAAAGCTCTGCCAAAATACTGCCTAAAACATTCATGACATGTTCAACAGTAAATTCCTATAGCAGTACATGTACAGTAGGAAACAAAAGCAGCATTTTCAAAATGTACTTCTTTATACTGTCGTAAGTATTGAGATACTTCAATCATGCATTTTGTTGTGGCCGAATCCTTGTGAGTGTGAGATTCAGGGAATGATAAGATGACTGGTTGAGTAAAGTTCACTAGTAGCCTACAGCAAGACATTAAAACTCATGTGATAATACAATAAAGATAAACCTTATAATATCATTTCTTAAAGGTATGTCATCATTAAAATGAACCAATAATGGGATAAGATCCTAAAGGGAGATAATTAAAAGATTAATGAGGCAGACAAATTATGAAGTATGCCTATGGCTACATGTACACGAGGACTACCAACGAAAGGGGCAGTTTGACCCACCCAAAGAAGATGGATATGTTTAAAGTTAAAATTTGTGGCTCAAGTGCTACATGCTTGATAAATTATATTTCAGAAGGCTCAATCTGACATAGCAAATAAATGGTGTATGGCGGATGGCACCTCATTTCCTAAAATTCAGCAATAAAGTGATGATAAGTTATTATAGTCAATCAAAGTTAGCTTGAGCAGCTATTAATTTTAAGCATAGATAGTAGAGCAGGGAAATGGATTGGAAACGCCTATGTAGAGGCCGGGACCATCCATTATACCGGAAGCTACTGAAGCATGGTCGATGCAGGAGCTGTTTTATCGTGGTCACCCGTGGTGAATCTGGCTATTGCTAAAACAACTCTACTCTTGCAGTATACTTAAGGTAGGCAAACACCCACTGCTATCTTTACCTTGACTTCTAAGTCTCATTTACCAAAAATGTGATGCCAGTCCTCGCTAAGCCTAAGAACATTTGTTCTTTCAATCTTTGTATCCCTTTTGTAAGAAACCCAAGCACTTTTTCCTTCAAACTTAAGGTTTTTTGTGCTCAGTATGATTGATTATACCTTTTTTGGGCAACTCTGAGTAATACTTGTCAAAATGAGCTGTTTCGTGATACCAATGGGTAATACTTTGTACACCTCTTGCATCAAGGTGGAGTGTTTTTACAAATGAAAAAATGATAGTTGTGTTGCATATAGCTGTTTGCATGTACTTATTCAGTTTTTTATAACATAATTAAAGCCAAATTGGTGTTAAAATCTGGTATTATGCATGCTTAAAAATGCAATAGTCTATAATTATTCATGAAGTTCCTTGATGTAGTGATGCCAAGAAGGAAACGATTAGTGGGTAGAAAAAATGAAGAGAGAAAGAAACAATTTGAAAAGGCACAACAGAAGATTTTATCACCACCTACGTATACACTGTCTTCACAAACAATGGATACCGGTTTGGAACAACAAGACAGAATTTTGTCTTCACCTACACCATCTTCACAAAACAATGGATACAGGTTTGGAACAGCAATCACTGAATCAACTTCACAGTCTTATTACTCTTGGCAAGAACTGGTTTGATGCCACTACTAATTGTAGTACATGTGTCAAGTATTTTTCTTTGTCAAATTTTGATGATGCAGAAATAAGCACCGCTAATGCAGTATCGCTAAAATTGACGGTTGTCATAGATTCAAGTTGTAAATTATATCTTTATATTGGTTCCCAGTTGTCCTCTTTCACTACACTACCATCAGCTGATTTCAAAAAATATGCTAATATTCAAGAAGTGAATAAGGATGACATCGAACAATTGTTTAAAACATTAGAAAAATATAATACATGTGCTCGCAACCCTGATGAAAATTTTGTTGCAATGATGAAAGAAAAGAAAGGAGTCATAAAATCAAGAACCGGTAAATCAGTCTCTGGCTATATGATGAGACTCTACCAGTTTATGTAGACAAATGCACATATTCATCTACAATTCAGTCTTTTCAATGTCATCATTTAGTTCTTTACCGCAAAGGTGGTGTCATCAGATGCAGCCAATGCAGTACATTTAGGAAAATTCTTAGAAGTTCATACATCAATTATTCAAAACATCAGTCACAGGAAACTAAAAATCCATCAAGTCATACCAATGTTTGTTATGACACCACTCCTTAAAGGTCAAATCGTGCCTTAAAGTGAGAGATTGCTTGATTTGCTTCTGGACAGAATGAATGACAGATAACACACTTAACCACATAGTCCTTGCCCATGCTAATCGTTGGCGAGGCCAATAATTACAGACCAATCTCACTGCTGTGTATCTTGTCTAAAGTACTAGAATTTTTAGTCTACGACAAGATAATACAATTCATACATTCGAAGCTCTCCAAACACCGATATGGTTTTCTATATGGCAAAGATCATATCTAACCCAGCTTCTATTGTTTTTGGTGATATCTACTCTGGAATTGAGGACAAGAAGGAGGTGGATGTCCTGTATTTTGATTTTAAAAGGCATTTGATACTCTGCCTCACAAGAAATTGCTTTACAATGGCATTAAATTGAAACTGAAGCTTAGAAAATTACTCTGATGGAAGCTATCCAGTATACTGTTCGGGATCAAGTGGATGCCGCCATAGCAAGGGTCTTTTCCACACCTTCAAAATTAAAATGATTCCACACCTAATGCGCATTTGCTTAGACTGCATTGTGTCAAACCATCTCAAGAACTACTGTACCTCCATATGTGGTTTGAATGCACATTCAATGCATAACTAATGACAGCTGGATCAGAAATACAATCAAAATTTACAAGATAATAGCATGGAATTATGGAACGCCACAGTGGACAAAAATCCCAATCAATGATATACGTATAGAAAGGTGGTGTGGTGATGCGCGAAGTGCATTGCCTCATTAATGCACCAATTTCATAATCGATTTCCAATTTCAGTGATCGATTTTCTAGGACTTCATGATGTATTCACGTGATCATCACCCCGCCTAAGTAGGCGTGTCGTCTTTTAAGTAAATTATAAACAAGATGGCGACGACATGTTTATCATGAGGTGTAATGGTTATTTTTTTGTAATTCTACAAGTAATAGCCCTTGTGTAATTCTTTAGATGTGTGGGGGGGGGGGTCTGAAGCACTCATTTTGAGGTCATTCTTTCCAAGTGAGAAGTGTGTGTGTGTGTATGTATTACTACTATCCCTGCTCACAAATAGTATTATACTCCTTCATTATTATTATTATTATTATTATTATTATTATTATTATTATTATTATTATTTGCAAACAGGGGAAAAGACACAAGAAGTGAAAAGATCATGAGATAGCATTCAAAGAATGAAGAATGGCCCAGAGACCCCATAAAGGAAAAGGATTGTACA